GCCAAGCAGGCTTAAAAGACGACGCTGGTGGACTAACAGGTGGTGGATGAAAAGATCTCAAAGAGCTTGGGGAGCATGAAATGGAAATGAAAAGGAGCAAATGAGCACAAAAATATCCATTCATACCCATCCACCACACACGGAAGCCCGTGTCCAAATCTGGTCATCCAACCGTGGGCTGGATGATTCTCCCGCCAAAAAAGAAAGTTCCCTACACGACGCTTATTGGCTCTTGCAGCCTTGGGACTGTGACAACAACTGTTGCCATGGCCACGTGTGCAGAACACCTACACTTGGTAAACAATGACTATAAAACACAATGAGCAAACGTAGGATGCTACACTTGTACTCATGTTATTCATAAAACACATAAGATCAATGGTGTAAAGGAACACACCTGCTGCAGCTTTAAGGTGGCAGAAAAAAAAAACCGAGTTAAAGCATATAACGACGCAGAGAAGACCAGTTGGTCGCAACCGGCCATGCGACCGGCGGTCGTCACTTGTCGGCCAAAGAGTTACGATGGCGAAAAATGTCATTCGCGACAAACATCACTGGCACAAAGGGTCTTGGGCAGGTTGGTTGGAACACATTTTTCACGGTCAGGTGGGCGCGGAATTGTGAGCGGCTGGCCTTGTCGTATGCAGCGGAGCCTTGCGCCCAAGCCCTTCGGAATCCGGAGCACATGGATCCAAGGCCTCGGATCATGGGGCAAACACACTCGGAACTCCGCCACAACGTTATCAGAGTCCCGAGCAGAACTTCGACTCCTGAGGGGCCCTCGCCGAAATTGTCCTCAGCAGGGCGTTTTCCGCGGTGGTCGGGTCAGGGCTGACGATATCAGAGTAATTACCCTGATTTCAGGGTGATTACAGGCTTCTGACTTGGTGGTCCTTGCAAACACAGGTTTTGTATTTTGTGAACTCTGATCCAATCAGAGAAGCTACTTAACGGACTCTGAATTCTTGTAACTAGGCTCAGAGTAGTGTACTTGCGGAGTCTGTCTATGCAGGGTATGCGTTCCGTGGACCCTGAATGCGAGGGTATTGGGACGAAGTTTCCTAGAAGCTTCGTTTCGATAACCCCCTTGTGCGTAATCATTTCTTCGAGTGGCCCCATGTGAGGTACCCCTTTCACGCAACCGTGAGTGACGTAATACCAACAAAGGAAAATACTGACGTGCTGTACATCACAGCTGGCAACAGCGCCAACGCAGCCAAATCAATGATACGGTGCTGCCACGCGCACCGCACAGTGCACAGCATGTGTCTGGCATTGGCCAGAATGGCCTGTTCACAGCATACGGTGGCAGCCAAGGAGTCCGTGAATGAATTCGGCTTTGAATGCAACGACGAATTCATCGTGGAATGTTGCCATCAAGTCCGTGGAATCGCGGCGCGGTGGTTTTGTGCTCCCGCCATCTCCAACCTCCCCTTCCCTCCCCATACCAGCAGCCAACGTTCCTTTGTTCACTAGTGTGTTCTTTCTATTACGTGCATTCATTGTCTCATTTTCCTTTCGTTCAGTTTAGCCACCAATGGAGGCCATGCCGGCCGATGAAGCTGCTCTGGACACTGGCCCCGACGAGTCGCCTGTAACAGCGAAACCAACAGCGCCGTCCCAGCCGGAGAAAGCTTCGGATGCTCCCCGCTCTGGGCTAGATTTTCCTTTATCTACGGCTGCTCCCGTCACACCAGAACCGCCAAGGTCTACCGTTCACAACTCTGCCCTTGTAGTAACCCCTACTCCTACTGCTTCTCCTATTCCCGTCCCGTTCACTCTCCCCCCGGCTGTTGCTGGCTGCACCAAAGATCCTCCACCGCCCTCGCCCAGTCTTACTCCAAGCACGGTGCGGGTGTCCCTTGGCCCGCCGTCGGCTACTTCCGCTCCCAAGCATGCGCGATCTGGTAAGTGGGCGCAGAGTACTCTGCTGGTGGGAGGCCGCCGTATTCCACCGCCGGAAAAGCCCGATGAGCCTGCACTGAAAGAAGCTAAGCTGCCGGAAGAAGGTGACATCCCGGTGCGCGCGGATACCGACTTGCCGGCACTCACCAAGACGCAGCTGCGAGAGCAGATGTACCTGGAGGCGAGTATTAATTACGAGACGAAGTGGGCTGGATACTTTTCTTGGCTTGTGTTTGGGAAACCCAAGGACGGTTTCCCGTACGTGAAGTGCAGCATCTGCATGTCGTACGGTAAGGGGAACGCGAGGTACGCCATGCAGGGAGACGACGGAGGCCGTGACTTGGAGACGCAGTCGTTCCGGGCGCACGAGCATACGGATGCACACATGGCGGCGGTGGACCGCCAGATGAAGATTGCGGCGGGAATCCGCGAGGGGCAGCAGGTGATTTCGGACTTCATCAACTCCGACGTCGAGGGCCGCCGCGCGATACGGCTGATGCGGTCGACTCAGTTCCTGTGCCAGTGCGACGCGCCGATTAGCATGTTTCCTAAGCTGATGCGGCATCTTGCGGAGCAGGACACGCCAGACATTCCCCGGCAGTCGTACGGCGTTTATCTCACGCGGTTAGTGACGGTTCAAATTGATTGCAAATTTAAACATGCACGTCAAACAACTAGCTTGACTATCGTGTACTGATAATTTCTCTGTCCTTTGTTGCAGCTACGGCTTCCAGCAGATGGTCCACAACATGAGCACTTACCTCACCCGGGTGCAGATGGACCACGTCCTGGCATCACCGTTCCCGGGCATCCAGTGCGACGAGAGCACTGACCGCACGCGAGGGAAACACATGATTGTGTACCTTACATATCTGAAGAACTGCCAAGTTGCATGCGAGTTTTTCACTTTGCTGACGGTCGAGCGGTGTGATGCAGGGTCCTTGTTTGAGGTGCTGCTGAACCATCTTCGCTCCGCTGCCGTCAATGTGTCCAAGATCGTCGGCATCAGCACGGACGGGGCATCGGTCATGACCGGGAGAGAGAACGGATTGGTGGCGCGTCTTCGTGAACACGTCCCTCATCTGTTCTCATGCCACTGCATCGCCCATCGGTCTATATTGTAGCATGTTATCTACGCTGATTGGTTTACTAACAAACCATAATACTTGTTCCCTGCTTTACACAATGAGGCGTTGGATGTGAAGGACGCCGCTGACTCAAACCCGGATCTCGACATGGTCGACAAGGTGGTGCGCACTGTTGCGACTCTGCTCGGAAACTCCAGCGTGTGGAGTCAGCGGTTCAAGTACCTGCAGCGTGTGATTTACAAGACCAACCTGGAAGTCCACGGCATCCACACGGTGCGGTGGCTGTCTCGAGGAGATGCGGTGGCCAGGCTGTGCAAGGTCCTCGGCGCTTGCATCGTGCTGCACTGGGAGCACAATCACAAGGCGTACAAGATTGTCACTTGCTACAAGTTTCAGTTCTGCTTGTTTTTCTTGGCCGACATCTTGGCAGACATGAACGACCTCAACCTTTGCACCCTGCGTGAAGCTGTGCCGCAAATTCGCCCGTGACTGCGTGGACAACCTCACCAACCGACTGGATGACCTTGGGAAGCTGGGGCCAACGAAGCTGTTCCGGGCGGGCAAGTGGCCGAAGATCAAGGCCCAGTGAGAGAAGAAGTGTAAGGAGTGGCTGAACGGATGCAGCAGGGTGTTCCGCAACAAGCTGCCGGGATTCAACCTCAAAGCAGCAGAGAGGGAGCTTCCAACCTTCTGCGCGATCATGGAGGCACACCATGAGATGGAGAGCTTCACCCAGGGCCTGTCCAACTTCCTTGGGAGCGCAGACTCCAAGAGGTAGCCTATACTTGGCTAACATGGGTTTTACAATCTTATTGCGCATCGCTAACTATTTCCATTGTGTTGTGTGTACGAATGTGCATGGCAGGAGATGGCCCAACCTCATCCTGCTGTGGCAGGCGCTGGCTGTGCTCCCCCTCTCCACCGTGGAGTGCGAGAGGGGGTTCTCCAGGCAGAACGTCATCAAGTCCTGGGTGCGAGGAGCGCTGTGCAACGCGCGTCTTGGGGAGCTGATGCAGATATCGCTCCTCAAGTATGAGATCGACTGGCCGGAGGCACTGGAGGTGTGGAGGTCCCTGCGGACGAAGCGCACTGCGAAGAGCTTGAAGCTGGCTGTAGCAGAGAGGGAGAGGAGGGGGAAGCAGAAGGAGGGTGAAGATGTGGCTGCTCGAAATGCCGGGGAGAATGAGGATGAGGAGGAGGAGGAGGAGGACGATGAAGTGGAACAGGCCTTCGGCGACGATCAGGAGATCGTGGGGGAGGAGGAAGTGGAGGACAATCCATTCCTGTCGGACGATGAGGATGTGGAGGAGGTGTACTTCATAGACAAGCCCGTGCACTAGACTAGATAGAGTAGGAAAGTGCATGCAGTTGTGTCATTTAGGAAAATGTGCCCTCATAATAGAGGGTCAATTTTTTTACTGGAATCAGGGAGTCCTAAAACGGAACGTCAGCCCTGGGTCGGGTGCCCCGGGCGCGTTCGCGTGCTCCGAAGTATTACCCGGGGTAGTGTTGGCGGGAGCCATACTCGCGAGGTTGTGTTGAAGAATGTCGGTAAGAAGAGTTGACGGGGACTTGAACCGCGGGAGGGACTGTGTCTTCGCCAGGATGAACGAGAACTAGGAAAGTAAAACTAGAAATTGGAAATGAAGAACGTGGGTGGAGCTACTGAAATCATGTTCCTCTTTTGTAGGCAAAAGAGGGGTGAGTAGCGCCGAGCCGCTACCTTAGCTGCGTTGGCCAGGTCCTTGCTTTCACAATACGAAATTTGAAAAAGTGTTACACTTATAAAAATTATAATATTGTACAAGGCACATCAACCAGTCTTGTTTACTGAACATACCGTATGCACTAGACCTAGCACACCTGATACCGTACCTAGTTTGTTAGCAGATATGAAAGCCCTGCTCGGTGCTGCCGTACAGGCCTGCCCCTTGTATCTTCTCCAGCCACCGCGTGTGGCACACGGGTAATTGGTGCCTGTTGTTGCGCTCTCTCAAGTCAGACACCCTAGTCCGCGCGCTCATACAGGTGTGCTGCACGGATGTGCCCCAGCACTGCATCTGGCACAAGGTACTTGGCTGACAGCCCCCTCTGTAACAGCCGCCTGCAGGCAGGCAGGCACACAGGCGCATGAGAGGCATGGCATGAGTGCAGTGCGGTGGAGTGTGTCCAAGTGGTGGGGTGCCGAATAGGGCTTTGACAACGGGGCAGCTCAAGACAGGAGATGGGATAAGCACACGCACACAGCAAGGGGAGGTGTAAGGGCAAGGCAAACATAGTGGGTTTCTAAAAAGCTCTGAAATGCAAAAAGAGCCATACTGACAGGTGCAAGAGTACAAGGCGGTGGGCACGGGGTAATGTGGAGAAGGAGCGAGACACATGTGGGATGCCGGAAGGGAGGGAGAGGTACCGGATGTGGGAGGAGCTGACGTTGTTCTCTATAGGCTGATCCACTATAAGGATGTTGTGCTGGTAGGGGTGCGGGGGAGGAAGAGGAGATGATGGAAGAGGCGGGTGAGGAGGCAAGGACGAGGAGAGGGTGCGTGAGCTCAGCCCTGCATCCGCGCACTCCAACAGTTCTTCCCATGTGCAAGAGACAGCAAGGGCGGTTCCAAGGCCATGGAGCAAGGCAGGTGCCAGCAGGAATGTTGAGAGGTGAGAGGTGCATGCATGAGGGCACACACACAGGTGTGGGCGCCCAAGGCCCTGTGGTCATGGGAGTGCGTGAGAGCGGGAGTGTGCATGCACACTCAACAGGCACGGAGACACAACCTGCAGACAAAACCGCAGTGAGGCCACTGTCTCTCACACTGCCACGCATGCACTGTGCACCATTCCCTGACTCCTCCACTTCCTCTCTTCCTCTCTTCCAACTTCCTCTCTTCCTCTCTTCCCACTTCCTCTCCCCCCCCACCAACTTCTCTCCCTTACTCCTTCAATCTCCCGATCCCTCCCTCCATCGTTACCTCTCTCCTGTTATCCCTCACTCCCTCACTCTCTCTCTCACACGGCTGCCACGGACTCACGCGGTGGCGGTGCAGAAGGTGAGAGAGCAGCACGAGGCGGTGGGCGTCAGCACCATGGCGGGCGATGCACACCACGCCGTGCGCTCCCACCACCTCCTCCACCTGCCATGCAGCCGTGCCCGCGCGGGTGGGGCGCATGGTGTGTGCGCCACATGGGGGGTTGGTGCAGAAGGTCCGCGGAAATTGGGGACACAGGGGAGGGGGTTATTGGGGTACGTAGGGATGGGAGATTTGAAAAGAAATATTTTGACGGCCCCGATGAACCACATCAGAACCACTCACACATTGCTGTGCCATGCCACGCCATGCCACGTGCATTGACAACGGCCCCACTTGGGATGGGGTGCAGATGGCATGGCTGGCATGGGGGCAGTGAGAGGCATGGATGGCAATGGCGCATTGACATGCAAACACAATGCCATAGTTCCATGCAATGCCATCACATGCCATACTATACCAAACCACATCATACCAAACCACACAACACCACACCACACCACACCACACCACACCACACCACACCACACCACACCACACCACACCACACCACACCACACCACACCACACCATACTACCCCACCCCACCAGACCAGACCATGCCATACCATACATCTTGATATGCATGACCAGCATTACTCACATGTGAGGGCACCCACACGCCTGGCTGTGTGAACGACTCAAGGAGGTCCGCCCCGCACACCAGCATCACCTGCACCCTCCCCTCCGCTCCCTGCTGCCCCTCCGCCGCCTCTACCCCTTGCCCACCCACTCCTCCACCGCTCTCCCTCCGCTCACCCGTCACGGCACGCGCCACCACGCCCATCGCACGCCTCTCGCCCTCTTCACTTCTCAATCCCCCCACGCCCCTCACACCCTGCCACCCATCGTCCTCTCCCTCTTCTCTATTTCCTCCTCCTTCCCTCCCTTGTACTCCGCCCCTTCCCCCTTCCCCGCCCCCCTGCCCTTCTTCCGCGCGTCCCCCCTGCGTGCAGGCGCCAGCAGCAGCAGTGGGCAGCAGTGCAGGAGACTCCGCCATGGCGCCGTCAAGCGCCCACATGTGGGTGTGCAGAGCCGGATGCGGGTGTGAAGGTGTTGGGGAGGGTGGGTGCGGGTGTGAAGGTGTTGGGGAGGGTGGGTGCGGGTATGAAGGTGTTGGGGAGGGTGGGTGCGGGTGTGAAGGTGTTGGGGAGGGTGGATGCGGGTGTGAAGGTGTTGGGGAGGGTGGATGTGGGTGTGAAGGTGTTGGGGAGGGTGGATGTGGGTGTGAAGGTGTTGGGGAGGGTGGATGTGGGGCCGCCTGGTGCGAGGGTGGGTGTGGGGGAAGTGGGGATGTGAATGACTGGCTTCCCAGCGATGGCGGGGAAGGCATGGGACGCGTTGGGTGGGTGGCGGGGGATGGAGCTTGGGTGGCAGAGGAAGGAGGTTGGGCGACAGAGGAAGGGGGTTGAGCGGCAGAGGAAGGGGGTTGGGTGGCAGAGGATTGAGCTTTGGCGGCAGGGGATTGAGCTTGGGCGGCAGAGGAGGGCGTTGGAGCAGTGGGAGCATTAAGTGTGTGGTGCAGTCGTCGCAGCACACAGAGGGTGCGCTGGTAGCATGGCTGCGATGACTGCGCATGGACCATGGGAAAAATGAGAGAGGTTAAAAGAGATGAGGTGGAGAGAAGAAGAGGATGGCATGAGGAGGGAGAGTTGGAGAGGAATGGGGCGTGAACGGGGAAGGAGAGAGCGACAAACGTACGTTACAAAGTGGATGAGAAGCATAGAAAGCAGCACTTTCCCAAGGTTTAGACATGGTTAAAATGGTTTAGAACTGGTTAAATTGGTTCAGACATGGTTAAAATGGTTTAGATATGGTTAAAAAGGTTTAGATATGATTAAAATGGTTTAGACATGGTTGAAGTGGTTTAGACATGGTTGAAGTGGTTTAGACATGGTTGAAGTGGTTTAGACATGGTTGAAGTGGTTTAGACATGGTTGAAGTGGTTGAGACATGGTTGAAGTGGTTTAGACATGGTTGAAGTGGTTTAGACATGGTTGAAGTGGTTTAGACATGGTTGAAGTGCTTTGACAGGAGCGCCGTGTGGGAGGTCACATGAGCATGATGGGTGAAGCGAAACTTCCAGGAAGCAGCACGCACGCACCTCCCAGGGGTCCACCATGATGAAGGGCGAATCAGCGCATGCCAGCTGGCACATGGCCACTCGCTCCTTGGCGGGGGCAAGGCCCTGAGGGAGGGGTGAGCCCAAAAAGGCAGAGCGGAGCAGGGTGTGAGAAGGATGGAGAGTCACCAAGCCAGCCATGGCGGGCACACAGAATCCTGATACAACGCAAGCACTCATGCTGATGTTGACGAGCATGCCTCTATTCCCATACGCGCTATGAGTGTACCTGTTTCCCGTACTGGTCATTGACTGGCGACATGTAAGCGCCAATCACGTCCCACCCACGGTCCTGAAGCGCATCCCGCGCCATCTCTGCCGCACGGAGGGAGGGCGTGCAAAGGCAGGTCAGGGTAGCTTTCACATGCGCTGGTGAGACTCCAATGTCACCTCTCTTGCACGCACGGAACCACCCACCCACCATGCCACATGACCCTAGCTTGGCTGCTGACTGCGCACTATGGTGTCAGAAGAACGATCTCAAATCGTTTTCTTGCAAAAGTGAAGAACGTGGATGGCTTTCTGTGACTGTGATGTCATCTGCGCCCACTCCCACGGAACTACACCTCACCCACCCATCCACCCACTCCCCCACCCACCCAGCATCCTCAGGTGCATGATTGTGGGCGGGTTGAAGCTTCCAGGAAGCAGCAGAACCGCCTGAGGGTGGTCGCCAGGAGGCCGCCCTTTGAACAACGAGGTGCCGCTGTCATCTCGCGGCGTACCAGTTCCCGCCACGTGGCACATGAGCTTGTCAAGCGGCAGGGGAACGTGAAGAGTGCCTGATGCGGCACGCATGAGGGAGAGGAGGGGCGCACGGGATGGTACGTCAAAAGGCAGCGTGGGAAGCAGGGCATGCGAGGGAAGAGAGGGACGACGAGGGGCTGTGACGAGGCCTTTCAAGAACAATTCAAGTGGAGATGGAGATGGAGATGGAGATGGAGATGGAGATGGAGATGGAGGGGGCACACGTGCAGGTCGGAGAAGGGAAGATGCATGCTTGGTTGGAAAAAGGCATGCATGGTCCAGTCCAGTGAAGTTCATCCGGATGTCGCCACTCGTGAAATGAAATATATTTCGGCCTATCAGCCAAACCGCCGCCACATCTAGCAGAACGGCTTAGATCCGCGATTTTAGAAGCTGAGATAACGGCTTGAGACGACTGCTGTTGACCCGAGTCCACGTCAACGGCTTTGACTGGACCTGCATTCGCGCGAGTGGAAAGCCACACCCACCGCATTTCAGCTCTACACGGGACCTCGTGCCGCCGCCGCCGCAGCTGTCACTGCGATCCCGCCCGCCGTCGGCGCCGCAGCTTGACTTCGGCTCCTCGCGTTCGTCGCCAGCTGACGCTGGAGCTGCGGACGACCTTGCCGGAGCTGCTTCTAACGAGGCTGATGCTGCAGCGGCGGCGACACATGCTGTGGCGGCTGCAGCGGCGCGCAGTGCGGGGAGGCGAGCTCGCAACATGGAGGCGAAGGTGGCAGCCATCGCGGGGTGTTAAGAAGGATGGAGGGAATGGACAAAAGTTGGCGCTAGACGAGGCGTGTATGATAATACAACCCCTGGACTGTAAATCTCGATACAAACAAAAGTGACGTGCTTGGAACATTTGTTTGTAGCAACATCCAACCGCACATGAATTGTCCATCCAATGCAGATCAGTACTTGTGTAGATTAGATCTAATCTGAATGGGACTGACATAGGAAAACAAAGTGTGAAGCTAATATATATCCTTAAGCAATCTACAGGAAACTAAAACAAAACATGAAGGTTAGTCCCTTGGCTATAAAGAAAATGGATGTCAACATGCGCCATCAGTGGCACACGGGTTGCAGTGGCTGCGCTCTGAGAGCATCGAAGTCAAGGCTCGAGTCTAAGTCCTCGTCCAACTCGCCCACCACCGCTCTGCATTGCATTGCACCAGGGCGCACACGAATTGGGAAGGAGAGGGAGCAGGGTGAACAAAAGGGGGTGGTAAAAGATAGGATACTAAGGAGCGTAGGGGGATAGAGAAGTGTAAGGAGGGAAGAGGATGAGAGGGTAGAATGCGAGAATAGGGTAGTAGAGAAGCATGAGCGAGGCGCTGTTACCGGCCCAATAGCACACTCTGGTCCCAATCACCCTCCCATGTCCCCCCCATGTCCCTCCCAAGCCACGTACATGTTATATCGCCTTGGATGATGTACAGCCTCAGCACTAGCTGCTCCACACCCTCACATGTCCCCTCGCGTCGTCCCATCACCCCCACATGTTCCCATCAACCCCCCCCTCCCCCCTCATGACTCCTCCCTCCCCTCCCCATGGCCCTCGCAACGCAAGCCACGCACATGTTATCGCCGCGAATGATGTAGAGCCCCAGCACCAGCTGCTCCACCCCGTGCTGCACAGCGGGTGGGAACGATCATTCACAGTCGCACACAGAAAGGCTTCTCAGCACTGCCAGCTCCTAGTCACACGCTGAAGAAGCGTGGCATGGTTGCTGGTTGCAGGTAGGCATGGGGGAGAAGGAGAACCAAGGGAATCTCCCACGGGAGGGGCGATTCCTGATGCGCCCAGCACCAGTGCAGCGCGGATGGGAGAGCGAACATGGGAGAGAACGCGACGGGATGGTGTTTAGGCAGAAGGAAGTTATTTCAGGAGGTGAGAAATTATGACTGGGCAGCCTGATGTGGAGGTGCACGACTCACGCACCAGAGTGCTTAAGGTAAGGAGGGGTCGAGAGAAAGGAAGAGGAAGAGGACCAGGAAGAAGGAGGGCACAAAATGAGGGAGACATGAACGCTTTAGAGAATGGAGTATACTCGGAAATGAAAAAGCATGGGCATGAGCTGGCATCGCGGTGCTGCCTGAGTGAAGGTGGATGGAGGCATGGAGGTATGGAGGCATGGAGACAAGGAGGCATGGAGGCATGGAGACATGGAGACATGGAGGCATGGTGGCAAGGTGGCATGGAATGGGGGCATGGAGGCATGGAGGCGGGCTTGCCTTGGTGGAGTAGACGCGCTCGTGTGACTCGTCCAGAATGATGTTGGTCGCCTGGTCAAACCCCTTCAGCACCCCCTGCACGTGCCAGCACGCGCACGCACACAGGAGAGCATGGGAGGTGTGATGTGAGAATAAAGTGGAGACACTTCAAGGAATCGCCAGGTTCAGGTGGAGTGGTGAATGAGGCTAAGAGAGGAAAAGCTGACAGCAGATTATTACCGGAAGCTTGTTGTTCTCGAAAGGCCTGTCTGAATGCTCGTCAAATGAGTGGAGTTGAACACTCCAAAATGGATGAGCGTGTCATCAGTACTGTTTCGAATAACAGTTTCGAAGAGTAGCTCTCACTCACCACGATGTTGCGGCCGTCATTGGTGATCACCGACACAGTCACTGCACACGCACACCACTCCTCCCCCTCCCCTCCGCGGACACCAGCCGCCCCTCCCCACGCCCCCCAACCCCTCCCACACCCAAGGCCCCCACAGCCCCCTTCCCCTCCGCACAGCCCCTTTCCTCCCCGCGCCACACCCTCCAGTAGCCCCCGCCCAGTTGTTACCTCGCGCGCAAGCAACCACACAAGCAAATACACCAGCAGCACACGCACACACGGACGTTAGTTACGTGTATCGTCATTCACAACGGCAATTGCGCACACAAGTAGAGGGGAATAGAGACAGATAACGGGTGTTGAGAGGTGAACGGACGGCAAATCACAGAGGCAGGGAAGCGGCGAGCGAGCGGACGGCGACTCACGGTCTACGTACGGCTCGAGGCCCGTCTCCTTCCCCTCCTTCCCCGCCATTCCGCAGGTATATGCGCAGCCGGTCAGCAGGTAGTTCGCAGCACAGCCGGCTCAGCCGGTTAGCCGGTCAGCCGGTACACACAGCCGGTGAGCAGGTACGCACAGCCGGGCAGCAGGTAAGCCGCTGAGCTGCAGAGTCCTCGTGACGAGCCGCGGAAATCCTAGGTCGCGGTTGAGTCCACGATGAGATTTGATGTTGGGAATATGGGTCACTTTGGAGTGCTAGGGCAATGGCAAGCTCAGGTCAGTAGTTATCAGAGTATTTTATTCTATGAGCTCGACCGCTGGGGAGATGCTTGTGCGGCTTGGAGGCAGGAGCCTAGAATCTAGGTCTAACTAAGATCTGTCAACGGAACTGAAGTACTTACACGCGTGCTAAGTGAAGTGTTTAGCGCAAGCCTTGTGGAGGTTGGTCTAGGTTAGCATTAGGATGTCAACTGCACTCAGCTCAAGATCGTTCCGTCGAGCTCACGGGTCCAGAATCTGTCACGAGGCTTCGTGGCGAACAGTCAGAAAACGACTCAGGCCACTCAGTGGTTCAGGGGTTCGACCGGTGGAGCAAAGGTCGTCCGTAACACGCTTCGGGGCGCAATTGTACGCACCATTTCGACCAAGTGTCACGACTTTCCAAATAATAGGGAGCCCACATCGAACCAATGTGCAATCTAACCAAATTTCGTAACAAGGTTCGCCACAAAAGGTTTCGTTTGGCAAATTTTGGGACCTCTTTTAGATGTATGTTCACAAACCAGTGGTACCTTTAAATCGCACTAGCAGGCTCAGTGTATTGTCAACTCCACAAGTGGAACGCCAACAACGCGGATGCTGAATCTCGAGCAACGGTTCAGGGTTTGATATGAACAGACACCCAAGCAACCGTGACCTATCCCGCCTTTCACGTCAGGTCTCACGTTTTATCCGTGAGCTCCCGTGCCTTTTTAACGCTCCCATACTTTGTCCGACGCACCGCTGAAAAATGGCGTGCCAAATGGCGTCTCACGCGACCGCTGCCTTCGTTATGCCGGCCGCTGCAGCGCCTTTGAGCCAACCATCTAGCAGCGTTTCGTTGCCAGCCGCCTTACCCTGCCGCGCACTCTCGTCCCTCAGCTCCACTTCCCCGACTCTTACCTCGCTTTCCCGCCAATGCGCGCGCCAGACCTCCCGCCCCTCGCGATCTGCTAGCGCCGCGGCAGTCACTCCCGTCCGTGCGATGGCGGGCGGCGACGGATCTGAGCCGTCCGGGCGCATCATCCGCGGCAAGTGCTTCGTGCTGGAGGACAACATCGACACGGATCAGATCATTCCCGCCGAGTACCTAACGCTCGTGCCGTCCAACCCCGACGAGTACGAGAAGCTCGGGAGCTACGCGATGGCGGGGCTGCCCGCGAAGCACACGCTGCGGTACGTGCAGAAGGGGCAGATGAAGACGGAGTACGCCATCATCATCGGCGGGGCTAACTTCGGCTGCGGGTCGTCGCGCGAGCACGCGCCCGTTGCGCTCGGCGCGGCGGGCTGCCGCGCGGTGGTGGCGGAGTCGTACGCGCGGATTTTCTTCCGCAACTGCGTCGCGACCGGGGAGTTGTACCCGGTTGAGGCGGCGGAGGGACTTGGCGCGAGGCTGTGCGAGGTGATTAAGTCGGGGGATGAGGTGACTGTAGATCTGGAGCATGATCTGCTGATCCACCACACCACAGGCAAGCAGTACGCTCTGAAGCCCATTGGGGAAGCCGGGCCCGTGATTGACGCCGGGGGTATTTTCAACTTTGCCCGCCAATCTGGCATGATTGCCAACAAAGCTTGATTTTCCTGTGAGTGCTTCTATGGGGATTGAAGGGGTATTATTGGAAGTTTCAAGTGCCGCCAGGCCACATTGTTGCACTAATCTTTTGAAGCCATTCCATGCCAGCAACCCTTTGGTTGTCCTCATCGTATAGCACATCCCTATGGTTCTCATTTTCATACATTTGTAAGTACGGTAGGATGTATTCCGGTTAATATTGAGATTCCGTACATGCGCATCTGTCCAAGCTAGTGGAATTTCACTGATTTGGCACCAAAAATGTGCGATCCTTCTCTACCATCACTGATACTGGTAGATAATGATTGTTACAAATCTTTCAACTGCAGTAATCTCACAGTAAGGCAAAGTCAGTTGTCCACTGTTATTGTGCTGGCTCTGCAAAAGCGCCTGTTCAGAACGTGGATGCTACTGTTTCTGGCTCTGTAAACTAGCAGCTGTTCTGCACCAAATTTGAACCCTTACAGCTCCATACTTGTGCCCCTGCATGTACCTCTTAATGATTGTCCTGTACCTTAAACCCTGCACCTGTTTCTGCCTCTTCAACCTGTTACTGCATCTGTGCCGGTTCCTTCAACCCTGAACCTGTTAATTCTCCTTCAACACTGCACCTGTTCTTGCCCCTACAACCCTGCACCTGTTCCTGCGGCCCTACACCTGTTCTTGCTTGCCTGTTCCAAAACTCTTTCCCTATGACCAGCCCCTGAAACTGACACTTGACCTGCTAACCCTGTTCCCTGACCCTGCATGCTGCACACAAGCAGAACAAGATTCAGCCTGAACAAAAAAACAAACAAACAAATCATGTCTTGCTACCCTGTAATCCTGCAAAACAAATGCCCTGCATCCCACAAAGAACATGCAAGCGCATGCCCATAAACCAGAGGGAGAACATAGAGGACCTCAGCACGGCCTCTCATGGTGCCACCCTGCACAAGGGCAATACACGAGGGATCTAAGAGAGAACACCAAAGCAGCACGTAGCACTTTAGGCCCCTGCTTGTCAGCAGAAAGGTCTCAAGTCTACATGTTGGTCTCAGCGAGCTTGGCGTCTTGGCATTGTTGAATGCCTGTGGAACAGCCACACAGATAGATGATGTCCTGACGACAGAATGAGGTGCTGCACCCACGTCCCCTGCAGATGAGGCCCTCAAAATCCGACTTCAAAGAAGATGCGCTAACATTGCCACCCTGCAGCTGCAGAAACACCCAAACAAGCACAACAGAAGGCCACAGCATACACCCTCAGGGGGGTTTCAGTGTGCCAGGAACTTAGTACTGCTGCGGAGGGTAGTCGCGCCTGTCCCCCCCGCCTCCTGCTCCGTACCCGTCATACTCGCGCCGCTCATGCTGCCCCTGCTGTGGAGGCAGCACCGGTGGCGCACCACCACCACCACCACCAGCGCCGTACCCTCCGTCCCTGCCGTCGCCCTGGTAACCGCCGTACCCCCCTGGCGCGCCCCTGTAGTCCCCTGCAGGAGGCCCGTATCCCCCCCGCGCGTCAACTGGCGCACCATAGTCACGCGGCGGAGCTCCGTCCTGGTACCCACCACCGCCGCCAGCGCCAGCACCATACGCATCGTAGCCTCCCCTGCCGCCGCCACCACCCCCCGCGCCTCCGCCATACCCGCCGTTGTACCCATCGTACCCACCCCCGCCTCCCCCCTGGTACCCTCCCCTGTCTGCGCCACCCCCGCGATCCCCTCCCTCGTACCCTCCGCCTCCCCCTCCGCCAGCAGGCGGCCTGTCCCGCTCCTCCCGCGCACGGTTCCACTGTTCGATCTTTGCGCGCCGTTCCGCGCTGCCCTCGCGCACGGGGCTTCTGCTGCGGCTGCGCGACCGCCGCCCGCGACGCCGGTCGTCGAAGCGGCGGTCGTCGTAGCGGTCGCGGCCCCGCCCTCCGCCGCCGTACCCGCCTCCGCGGCCGTAACCGCCGCCGCGACGGTCGTCATAACGGTCGTTTCTGCCGCCGCCGCCGCGAGGGGGGCTGCGGCTGCGGCTCCGCCTCCTGTCCCCGAAAAGCTTCCGTCGAAGCTCCCTGAAAGTAAATAAAACGTGTACCAAGAAATAAGTAAGATGTTGCAAATACCGTCGTGTGCACTAAGACGGCAATAGCACATGCAGAAAAGGATAAACAGCTTAAAAGCTGCATTTCCGTAGCGGAAAAAGAAGTTTCAAAGTGAAGGGCCGAGAGGGAGGCGGCGTGGGAAGGGCACCTGCTGATTTTCTTCAGGTGCATAAAGTTGCAGTAGCCGCCGCGGTTGCACGTGTTCTCCTCGTACTGCCGACACGTGGCCTCGCGGAAGTCGGTGACGGGCGAGAAGTCCACCAGAATGGGCCGCCCTGAGAGCACGTGAGAACGAAGCGGATTGTAAGGAGGATAGTGAGGCCGATCGTAAGGCGGATGGTGCGGAGGATGATGCGGCGGATGGTGCGGCCGAACACAAGGTGGATCATTTGCATGTGTGAGCGGCTAAGAGGACGCGGAAAAGGGCCAAAAAGAAGCTGCGTGACAAAGTAAGTAACGACGAGACACCAACCTGCATAAAAGCGGCCAGTGAGCGCCCTGAGAGCCGTCGCAGCCTGCTCCTCCTCGCGGAAGTTGACGTACACGTTGCCCACCTGCACGCGCATCACACACACGCCAAACGGTCAGTCAAACGCACGTAATCTCCCCAAGCAGCAAAGTATTGTGTAAAAAAAAAAAAAACAACAGGTTGGGCAGCAGGACGTGGAGCAGGCAGCGAGAGGGTTGGCGAGCTGACCATGTGGTCGGCGAGGTTGTCGCAGATGTTGAGGCTGTTGAGCTCGCCGTACTTGCTGAGCTCCTCGAAAAGGTCCTCGTAAAAGTCCTCGTAGTGCTCCTGAATCTTCTTCGGATCCATCGTCTTGTCCGGCTCGCCGCCTGGTGTCGCCATGTCGGGCCGCTGGTACATGTTCGCCAGGAGAAGAGTCGGACTGATCGTCGGCCTGGCAGCGATAATGACAAGAGAAACATACAGAGCAGAAATGACGGTGCGATAAGAATGACAATATCGAGGCGAGACAGATAAAGGTTATAATGAAGCGGAACGGGAGGCACGAGGGGAGGAACGATGCGCTGCGGGAGTGGGTGAGTAGCGACAAAGGTGTCATGCAGCACCTGTTGTGAAGACGCGAGCAGCGATCGCCGTGGCGGCACGCGCCGATCTTGAAGTAGAAAGGACAGTTCACCCTGTCCTTCTCCGTGCCGAAGATGGACGCGAGATGTTCCGCCATGGCTGCACGAAACCTGTCGCACCCGTGCGTGGGTTACGGAAACAACGAGGGACGAGAGGCTGGTACTAGTATCCAGAACAAGAGGGGCGTTACTTACATAATCAGCTAATAAGAGGTAAATCCGATGGCTGACTACTTAGTTGTGCCTGCTCCATTGGATAACCCTCACAAGAAACTTGAGCAAAGGGTTGTGTAGGCGCGAGCAGCGATGGAATGGAAGCATCCAGAACTTTAACAGTTGGCTCGTCGCGAGCACGACGAGAGCATGGGCGAAAGATCGCCATGTTATGAGATACAAGCTACCATCAACAAGCACGAGTGGAAGTGAAAATTATATGGCATAGCGTTTACTTCCAAACCTCACTACCGAGTACCCGTTTCAAAACTTGAAGACCTCACAAACGCGTACGGGTTTCAAAGTTTGAATTCGAGCTGCACAGTACTACCAAAACTGCCACTCTCGTCTCATGAGATTGAAGCCGAGTTGCCAACACTAGTCGAATTCAAGTTGCGTACCTTATTTGTGGGAACGTGTGATTTTGAAGCCGCCATTCCCGTAGACCCAGTGTTTAGCACCCTCATGTTTCTCCGTTCTGGCCGTCCTTTCTATTCCTAAGATACTACTTATTCGTCACCATCTAATTTAGCATGCCTGCTCACTGTATGCCAGCAAATACAAACGATAATGTCGCCGATGGTAGCGATAACGCCAGCGGCAGGGGAACCATGATCCGAGCAATTGATAAGGCCGCCATTCACCGCATATGCTCGGGACAGGTGAGCCCGAATAGCTCAAGAGTTTAAACTACTCTAATGTTTTTATTGCAATAGCGCAGTTTCCTGCACGACGTCGTCTGCGGCGCGCAGTCTGTCGCACTCCCCCTACGCTCCTCTCGACCCGGAACCCCCCGTATTGTCTCCCGCTCGCCGCTCGTCTTTGGCCAAGTATAAATTTGGCGCGCGGATCACCGCACGCCTCGCCGCAGAGCACAGCCCTGACACGTGTTGAGAGGTTGCTGAACAGGAGTTTGAAACCCGTCGCAGTTGAGCCGACTCAAAAACATATTCTTTGTCGCCCCGCTAGTTCACACCTCGTCCTCGTGTGATTCAGATGCCGCTGGGCCTGGCGACAGCGGGGAAGGAGCTCGGGAGAGCAGCCATTGTGATGCCCTTTCCGCCGCCTCCTGCTCCTCCACCCCCTCCTCCATCCGCCGACGCTGTGTCACGCAGGTGGTGCTGGACGTGGCAGCAGCAGTGAAGGAGCTGGTGGAGACCAGCCTCGACGCGGCAAAGCACCTGCTACTTCCTGCCTCCAAGTAACCCTTTCCCCCCTTCCTCCTCTCTCTGCTCTTGCAACCCTTACCCCGCGCAGGTGGTGCTGGACGTGGCAGGGGCGGTGAAGGAGGTGGGTGGAGACCAGCCTCGACGCGGCCTGTGAGAGACCTGCTCTTTTCCACCACTTAAACCCTGTTCAACCGCCCCTGCCCATCCCCCTCTCCATCCCACTCCCCCCCGTAGGTTGTGCTGGACGTGGCAGGCGCGGTGAAGGAGCTGGTGGAGAACAGCTTGGACGCGGGGGCGACGAGCGTGGAGGTGCGCCTCAAGGACTTCGGCGCAGAGCTCATCGAGGTGGCCGACAACGGCTGTGGGGTCGCGCCCCCCAACTGGCAGGTGACTCCTGAGCTGCCTAGGCAGCGTTGAGCGGGCTCTAAGGGCGGTCAAGGGGCGTTGAGGGCGGTCAATGGGCGTTGAGGGCGGTCAATGGGCGTTGAGGGCGGTCAATGGGCAGCCTGGATGCGGGGGGCGCGATTTTGGAGGTGTTGGTGAAAGAGTGGGGTGAGGAGCTCATTGAGGTGAGGAGCTCATTGAGGGGGCAGACGCCGCCTGTGGAGTTTCGCCTCCCAACTGGCAGGTGACGCCTTGGACTGGACTGCCCAAGGTTTCCTTAACGGTGGCCAAGGGGCGTTGCATTCGGTCACGAGGCGTTGAGGGCGGTCAAGGGGCGTTGAGGTGGGAGCAGAGCGAGTGTGGCATGACGGGTGACAGCTGGTGAGTGAAGTCCTGAATAGTCCTGGGCTCTCACGGCCCGTGACTCACGGGAAAGGAAGTGTATTTTGAAAGCAAGGAGGTGTTGTGAGTGAGGGTGGTGCAGGGGACGTGTTGAGGGGAATGGGGGCGTTATTACAGGATTGCATCTTACGCTCTTGCCATCCGTCCATCCTCTTCTCGGCGTTTGAAGTGCTTCAGTGTTGGACCCTACATCCCTTCAGTGTTCCAGCCACTCCACCTGCCCTCCCCCATCTCTTCCCCCATCTCTCCCCACCGCGCACCACTGCAGATGCTGCCCCTCAAGTATTACACATCCAGATCGCCCACTTTTCCGACTGACTTGCAGTTGGACCAAGGTTCAACTTTGAGTCACTTAGGAAGGCATTGCTGTCGTCCCCTCCCCCGAACCTCCCTCACTGCACCACTGCAGGCACTGACCCTCAAGTACCACACGTCCAAGATCGCACACTTCTCCGACCTCCAATCGCTCTCCTCCTTCGGCTTCCGAGGGGAAGCCCTCTCCTCCCTCTGCGCCCTTGCTGACGTCACCATCACCACACGCACCGCGAACGAGCCAATCGCGATGCGCCTGGTGTTCGACCATGGGGGAAAGCTCCTGCCCGGGCCTCGGGAACAGGTCGCCCGGGCAGTCGGAACGACGGTCAGCGTGGCGAAGATTTTCTCGCCGCTGCCCGTGCGGCGGCGGGAGTTTGAGCGGAACGTGCGGCGCGAGTTTGCGAAGCTGGTGAGCGTCTTGCAGGCGTACTGCGTGGTGTCCACACACGCGCGCATCCTCTGCACCAATCAGAGCGGGCGCAGCAGCGCGCGCACCACTGTGGTGCAGACAGCTGGCACGGGGTCGATGCGCGAGAACATCATCGCTGTGTTTGGCGCCAAGGCTGCTGCGGGCCTCGACCCTGTCGACATCTCCTTCCCCCTCTCCCCTGCTTCCGCCGCTGCTGCCCCTCCTGCTCCTGCTACTCCTTCTCCCGCTGCTACTGGCACAGCTGCCACTACCCCTGCGCAGCTACCACCCTCCTGCTGCACAGTAACCGGGTTTCTATCAAGGCCAGGAGCGGGCAGTGGCAGGTCGGCGGGAGATCGGCAGTTCTTCTTCCTCAACGGCCGCCCGGTGGACCTGCCGCGCCTCTCCAAGCTGCTCAACGAGCTCTACCGCTCCTTCAACTCCCTGCAGTTCCCCGCCGCTTTCCTAAACGTTTCGCTTAGCGCGGACGCTTATGACGTGAACGTGACCCCGGATAAGCGCAAGGTGTTTTTGCACTCGGAGGCGGCGCTGCTGTCGGGGCTGAGGGCGGCGTTGTCAGAATTTTATTCTCCGGATAGATATGTCTACCGAGCCGCGCCGGCCGGTTCGGTGGGGAAGGCGATTGAGGAACGGGTGAGGAGGGAGGTTGGGGAGAAGGGACGGGTGAGAAGGGGTGTGCGGAGAGGGGTAGGGGATGGTGAGGATGAGGGGGAGGGTGTTGAGGAAGGAGAGGAAGAGGATGAGGGGAGGAGGAAGCGGGTGAGGGTGAGTGGTGGTCGTGGTGGTGGTGCTGCTGCGGGTGCAAGGGGAGGTTGTGCAATAGGAGATGCTGATGATGATGGGAGGGGGGGGCGGGGGAGATGAGTTGAATGGGGAGATGGATGGGGATGGGCAGATGGAGGAGGCAGAAGGGGAGGGGGACAGAGGGCAACCTCCACATCAGTTTGATCGCGGAAAGGGAAGAGGGAAGGCAACGCGAGGGGGAGCAGTGGAGGAAGCAGCACATGAGGAAGCAGCACATGAGGCGGCAGCACATGAGGAAGCAGCACATGAGGCGGCAGTCGGGGGGTTGGCAAGGGGAACAGGGGAAGCAGCTGGAGGGCGAGGAGAAGCCCGCAAGGCAGCAGCAGGGTCAGGAGGAAAAGGAGTCACAGCAGGTGGTGCAGCAGGGGCAGCAGGAGGGGGTGCTGGCACGCTGCAGTGGAGCGAGAGCAAGGCAGCCGCCATGCGCCGACTGCTGCTGCTCATGAGCCCCCAGGGCAAAGGCAAGGCCAAGGGCAAGGCCTTGGGTCTGGGTATGGGTGTGGGTGGGGGTGGGGGTGTGCACGTGGGTATGAGCGAGGACAGAGGCAAGGATGTGACGTTCGGTGGTGGCACAGCGGACAGGAGGTCGCTGTCTCGGGGGGCAGTGAGTGGTGGGGAGCAGGCACGTGCTTGGCAGGGGTATGAGACGCGACACATGACAGGTGCTGAGCGGGAGAGAGACCGGCAGAGGGCGCAGCAAGAGGAGGAAGAGGAAGCAGAAGCGGAAGAGGAAGAGCAAGTGGAAGCGGAAGAGCCAGAGAAAGAAGAGGAGGAAGAGGAGGAAGAGGAGGAAGTGGAGGAAGAGGAGGAAGAGGAGAGGGAGAGTAAGGGAGGCAATGTGGGCAGAAGGAATGGCAGCAGCAGGGCAGTGAGGGGAGGAGGACAGCGTTCCATGGGGGGGGTTGCTACTCAGGCGCAGGGGATGGGCAGGGAGAGGATCGGGAGGGGAAGGTTGCGGGGAGAGAGCAGTGAAGGGGTGGAAAGGGCGCAGGGAGGTGCGGATGGGAGACAGGTGGGTCTTGATGCTTGGCTGGGAAAGGGGGTTGGGGGGGGACGAGGGGGAAGGGGAAGCGAGGGAGGCAAGATGGGCGAAGTGGATGGGGGGAGTGTGAGGGGGAGAGCTGGGGATGGCTGGGCGGGGCAGGGTGGCATGGAGCTGGTAGGGAAATTAGTGGAGAGAGAGGAGGATGAGGATAGTGAGGAGGTAAGGGAAGTGGGGCAGGTAGAAGGGGAAGGAGGGGGAATGCCAGCAGAAAAAGGCGAGAATCACGATGCAGGAACGAATGATGCTGCTCAATGTGGTGGGGTTCATGCTGGCTTACAGGAGGCAACCCGGGATGAGTGGGCAGGAAAAAATGTTCTGGATCTGCCCCTAATGACGCAAGAGATGACTCAGGCTGACCTGCCCGAACTTGTGGGCTCACAACTGCTGCCCGGCACCCAGTTGGCCGGGCAGCAGGAAAGTTCTGCGGTAGCAGATGGGGCAGGGAAGGGAAGGTGTTGCGGCGGGGATGCAGGGGAGTTGGAAGGAGAGGAGGGAGGAGAGGGAGGCGAGGGAGGGGATAGAATGGGAGGAATAGAAGCGGGATGGGGGGCTGCATTGGGCACGACGCGAGTGGCACGGTCAGGGGAAAGGTGGGCGGTGAAGGGCGCAGAGGGCAGCGTGCAGGTGCCGTTTGACATGCGGCGCGTGCAGCAGGTGTGGCGCAGACGAGCTGAGATACAGGGGAGAGAGGCGAGGGAGGAGAGTGCAGGGAGAGAGGGGAGAAGGGGAGTGGCAGGGAGAGGGAAGGGCGAGGGGCGGAGGAGCTTTGCAGCAGCGTCGGTGGCAGATGGTGTGAGTAACCCTGCCCACAGCAGTGGTGGAAGGAAGATTCAGCATGAGGGGGAGGCCAAGGAGGCGGCATTGGAGGCGGCAGCGAGGGAGTTAGAGAGACGGTTTGACAAGCGCGACTTTGCTAGCATGGCTGTGATTGGCCAGTTCAACCTTGGGTTCATCATTGGACGGCTGGGATCTGATCTCTTCATCGTGGACCAGGTACAGCATGCATAGTGTGAGTTACGGTGCGGTTTCGGCCTGATCTCACTCATCCCTACTGCCCATCACGTATGTGCATGCAACCGTCCCTTTCTCATCCCATCTCTACCTCTCACCATCATCTCATGTCCCATCGTCTCACCCTCACCTTCCCGATGCACCATCAGCATGCGTCGGACGAGAAGTTCAACTTTGAGCGCCTCATGCGATGCACCGTGCTCAACAAGCAGCCGCTGCTCGTGTGAGTGGTGAGGGCGTGAGTGTGAGTGGTGAGGGCGTGAGTGTGAGTGGTGAGGGCGTGAGTGTGAGTGGTGAGAGCGTGAGTGTGAGTGGTGAGGGCGTGAGTGTGAGTGGTGAGGGCGTGAGTGTGAGTGGTGAGGGCGTGAGTGTGGTGTGAGTGGTGAGGGCGTGAGTGTGAGTGGTGAGGGCGTGAGTGTGAGTGGTGAGGGCGAATGAGGGGTTGTCCCAAGTGGTTGAATGCTTTGAAAGTTGCTTTGAATGCTCCGTCTAATCCATACTCTTCAACAAGCTGCCATGCTCTTCAACAAGCTGCCATGCTCTTCAACAAGCTGCCATGCTCTTCAACAAGCTGCCATGCTCTTCAACAAGCTGCCATGCCCTTCAACAAGCTGCCATGCCCTTCGACAAGCTGCCAGCGATGCTATTGAGGCGGGACGGCATATCTGTATCTCATCTTGGAGTCAAATTGTTGTCAAATAGGCAAGAACATTGTTGTCCCACCTAGTTGCTGCTCGCCTATTTTCTTTGTTACTCCCTCGTCTCTCGAGCCCGCATCTCGTTCTTCCATAATAAGTTTTGCTTGTCTCTGCTTGCTCTTATCAATGATGCACCTCCCCGTGCAGGCCTCAACGGCTGGATCTGTCACCAGCAGAAGAAGTGATTGTGTCAGCACACATGCCCACATTCAGGTGCACACATGCCCACATTCAGGTGCACACATGCCCACATTCAGGTGCACACATGCCCACATTCAGGTGCGCACACTTGTAGGGCACACATGTGGTTTCCACTTCCTCTTCCATCGACTGCCTGTCTCTTTTGCCCTCCCCTCTGCACCCATCTCCCCCTGCACTCACTCCCTTGTACAACCGGGACATCTCTCCGTCACGCCCTTCCCTCCACTACTGACTGCATCGATCATTCAGGTCTCCTTGACCTACACTTGACAGTCCTCATGCGCTCCTCCTCCTTTCCTCTGTCTGCATTGACTCTTCAGTCCTGTCCTTGTCTTCAAACTCAACCTCACTTTACCCCTCCCATCAGATCCAACGGCTTCCATTTCTCCGTGGATGAGAGTGCTCCATCTGGCCGTCGGTTCCGCCTCTCTGCCGTTCCTTTCTCGAAGAACATCGTATTTGGTGCTTCGGGTGAGTCTGGCTTGTGATCGGTTCGCATCACCTGGTGCCCTTTGTTTCTCAGGAGCTTTTGAACGGGATAAGTTCCGCATTTATTTCGGTTACATACCTAACTCATATGCTGATACACTACCAGACGTGCAAGAGTTGTGCATCTGCCAATGTGTTTCGCTCATTAGAATCTGCCATATTTCGTCATTGTACGCTTTGGCCCTCGTAATTTTAATGCTCCTCCTGCTAATATGTGATGTTTTTGTTTGTTTTCCTCGCTTCATCCAGATGTGTGCGAGCTCATTTCAATGCTAGCAGATGCGCCCCTGCCTGACCCAGAATCTGCTGCTGGCGCTGCCTCTGTCCCTGATGCTATCTGCTGGCATGCAACCACTGCCACAAAACATGCAAAGGGTGCTGCATCTGGTGGCGGAAACCACCAAGAAGCTTCTCTGCATGATAACTCAGCAAGCTCACCACAAGCAAGGCGCAGTGAGATTAACAACGCGAGCAGCACGGCTGGGGGTGCTTCTCCACGGGACAGGAAGTCTGGAGCTGCAGCGGTACCAGCGACATCACCATCGGCATCGCCATCAACGGTTGTGGCGGTGCGGCCATCACGGGTGCGGGCCGTGCTGGCTTCAAGGGCGTGCAGGAGCTCCGTGATGATTGGCACGGCACTCAGCCAGGCGCAGATGAGCAAGGTATGACGATTCGTCCATCCATGCGTGGCGCTTTTCACAGCTAGCATTCTCTCCTTTTGTTTATTTCTGCTGTGTCAATATTGACCAAATATTAGACTACTTTTGCATGGTGTTGCAGATCCTATGCCAGCTGTCAACGTTGCAGTCACCTTGGAATTGTCCCCATGGTCGACCAACCATGCGCCACCTGTTCGACTTGAGACTTTTAGAGAAGAGCGTGCAAGACATGGATATATTATAGTTCCGGGAATTGCTGTAGTTCCGTCAAAATCTCTTGTACAGAAGTGTACAGTCGAACTGTACATGACCGATTAAGTGATTGAAAGTGGATGACTACTGCATATTCATACAAATTAGTTGTACTATGCGCATTGGCTTTTTGTTTTTGAGAGATATATAACCTCAATTCAGTGTTCTGCCAGCCAGCAGCTTCTCACCCAGCAGAGAAACCCCGTCATAACGAGTTCGCCTGCTTCCGCGAGCCTCCGAGGAAGGAAGGCGGAAGCAACGAATAGCGCCTATCGAACATTCTAGAAGCTCGATCACCGTTAGATCAATCCCAGCACGCTAGCCAATGGCTGTGCTGCAGCTTCACGCTAAGGCCGAGTCGCACAATTTTGAATTGCGGTTCCCGCATCGCATCAGTAAAAGTATATATGGTAAGAGTCCTCCCCATCGTCATCAAACAAATTGTCAATCACCAACTACTCTTGCTCTCTTGCTCACACAAGCACTAACGCTTCGATTAGCATTCCTGGAAAAATATCGCAGGTCGATCAGCTGTTAAGAGTTTCCTAACTTCACTCGACTTTCCCGCTGCTGAGAAGCTGATATCTGTCGCGCTTCATCTTCTACGTTCAAGTTCAATCCTCGAATCCCAATGGCTCCCACCAACAACTGCGCGTGCAGCAGCGCCTGCGCCTGTTCCGCGCGCAACAATGCATGCGCCTGCAAGACGACAACCGCCGCCACTTGTGCCTGCAGCAGCGGCGCCGAGTGCAGGTGCGGCTCGGGCTGCGCGTGTGACTCGTGCACGTGCCGCTCCGCCGGGAGCGCCGGAGGAACCGGCGTAGGGTGCGGCGGAAGTAACGCGAGCGCCGGCACTTGCGCCTCTGGCGAGAGCTGCTGCTGCGGGGCAGGCTGCTCCGGCGCGGGCTGCGCGTGCGGGGGGCAGGCGGGAGGAAAGTGCGCGTCCGGGGCTAACTGCAGCTGCGGAAAGGGTTGCTTAGGCGCGGGGTGCGCTTGCGGAAATGGCGGAAGTGGCGGATGCGCGTCTGGCGCTAACTACCGCTGTGGGGAGAGCTGCTCTGGCGGAGGGTGCGCTTGCGGAGAGACTGGGGGAGTGAAGTGCGCGTCTGGCGCTAGTTGCGGCTGCGGAGAGAAGTGCTCAGGCGCAGGATGTTCGTGCAAGTAGGTTTCAGGATGAATGTGCTTTGAGGTTGCTGTGAGAAGAGAGCAGCATAGGATGCACGGCTGGTGTAACTCATGTGGTTGCCCTTTTGGTTGTGTGGTAATGATTTCAAGAAATTAAACACAGCAATATGTGTGTAATGCAAACAACCCAACCTGCCTCATGGCCATAAAGCGCTGGTATTGTAGTACTAGGCTGGCGGAGTATGGAACTGTTTCTCCCTATCTCTCCCATAGTAGCCATGGATGAATCACTCCCATGGTACCGTACTTCCGAGCAGCAGAGACCGGGCACAAGATAGTTGTCGCTATGGTTCAATCATCTAATGTTTAGGGTTTAGGGTTGTTAGAAATGGACTAAAATACCAAATACACTGAAGATGTTCGGATTTCTTGCCGGCTGCTTGACACTCACGTCCACAACCGTGCATGCCCAAATGATTTTGGGCACCTCAAGAAGTAGAATCCAGAGATGAGCCCAATACAGAGGCACAGGAGCGTGAGACCCAGATTGCATGCTGCCTACTTGACAGTGGCGTTCACAATGGTGGATGTGCACGGCCCTGCTGTCGTCATCATGGGCGTGTCCTGGAACATGGCCACCCCCGTGCCGTCCGTGCGCAGAAACTGATGTGCACGGGAGGGGGAAAGGTTGCACAGGAGGGGAAGCAAAGAAGGGAGGAACAAAAGATTGTCATCATGGGCGTGTCCTGGAACTTGGCCACCCCCGTGCCGTCTGTGCGCAGAAACTGGAGGGGCGCACAAGGGGCGGGGGTTGGGGGCCAAGGGGGGATCAGAGGGGGCAAGTAAGGGCTGAGGGGGGGAATGCGACCAAGTGGGGCCCTGGAAAGCGGGTATGGAGAGTTAGGAGGGAGCAATGACATGCAAGCAAGGGGACACGAGAAGGCATGGAGCAGGGAGACAAATGTCTGCAATGGCTGTAGCAGCAGCAAGGCACGCACTGGCTGTAGCTTCTCGAAGAGCTTCTTCTTGGGGTTGAGCACCTCCTCTGCCTTGCCGTCCACTCTGTGTGATGCGGGATTGGACATGTGCAGGTGGGGGAGGTGGGTGGGAGTACAAGGTGGGTGGGGGTATGGAGGATGGGCAGGTGGGGCAGCTTCTCGAAGAGCTTCTTCTTGGGGTTGAGCACCTCCTCTGCCTTGCCGTCCACTCTGTGTGATGCGGGATTGGACATGTTGGGGGGTAACGTGTGTGGGGTACAAGGAGGGGGTATGGGGGAATGGGCAGGAGGGGCCGCAATGTGGGTGGGGGGCAATGGTGGGTGGGGATAAGAGGGAGGGATGAAGAGGAGGGATGAAAGGAGGAATTCTCGCCAATTGCTGCTACCCCTTGGCCCTAACATTAGCGAGACCCTCCACTTTGCCACTCTTTACTCCCCTCCCTGACCACACCCTGTTGTCCGCCCTTGACTCTCTTCCCCGTTTCCCTATACCACTCTTCCCTCTCGTCTCTCTTTCCTGATTGCCCGCCTTCCCCTTCATCCCCTCTTGCTTTTCTCTTGCTCTACCGTCCATCCTCCCCGCCTCACCCAGCGAACGTGATCTTCTCGCCGATGGCAGCCCCCTCTGGGGGTTGCACGGGGCGGCACACCGTGTGGTCCTCGTTGGACGCACACAGCACCTGCGAGGCACACAGAGGGGTGGAGGGAGCGAAGGCGGGAAGGTGGCATTTGGTGGACAAGCTCTCGGGTTGTTGCACAGGGCGGAACACGGTGTGGTCCGCGTTAGATGCAGACAGCACTGGAGAACCATGGGGAGTGGAAGGAGGAGTGGGTATGGGGAAGTGGGAAACGGGGTAAAGAGGGGTTGGGGTGGGAGGACTGGGAAAGGTGGGGATCTTGTGATAGCACGAGGGCGGCCGCTGATGGCCCGGAGAAGCAAGAAAATGCATCAAGAACGCATACCAGAATATTGATTAATTAGTGAAGGAAGTTGTGGATGCTTCAAGTACTTCCCCACTCCACAAGATACAGCAGTTTCAGGAGCAAAGGGACGGATAGGCAGTATGCAAAGGGCGTATCCGTTCTTCAACTATTGGCGGACATGGCCGTTTGCAGGAGGAGAGAGAGAGGCTTCATGCACGCACCAGGCCGGCCGATACAACGTCCCTCACTTTCCCCGGCTTCACGTTTGTGAGCACCACCACCCGCATGCCCTGCGTGCAGTCACATGCACAGACGCACATGGAGGGACAAGGAAGGGCTGCGGGTCAGTGCTCTGCACTCGCTGCTGTCACTCTCTCTAGTTTCACGCCACCAGCATGCCCCGCTCGCTCACATGGCGAAAACAAAGGACTGCTTGCACAGGACAAATGGAAAGCAGAAGAGAGAAAGAAGGGTAAGTGGATACGATGTCGCTTAGGCTTCCAGCTGACCCACCACCACCACCTTTAGCACCATCACCCCTCTTCTTATCGTTCCCGCTTCTCATCATCAACCCCCCCCCCCCTCTTGCCATTATCTTGTCCTGCGTGGCGAACTTGACCAGCCCACTAACGAGCAGCTCACATTGCCTGGCCAGCTCACTTGATGTGCATTCACCCACACCTTGACTCCAGGCTTCTCACCACCATCACCTCTCCCTCTCACCATCACCTCTCCCTCTCACCACCATCAGCTCTCCCTCTCACCACCATCACCTCTCCCTCTCACCACCATCACCTCTCCCTCTCACCATCATCTCGTCCTCTGTGACGAACTTGGCGAGCCCACTGACCACCTGCCGCACACTGCCCTCGCCCACGTCTATCTCCTCCACGTACAGCCTGCAGAGGAAGAGGGGAGGGAGAGGATGAGAGATGAGGAGAGACATGCATGCAGCAAAGCATGGGCTTGTTGCACGCACTGCCCTCGCCCACGTTTATCTCCTCCACTCCACATACAGCCTGCAGAGGAAGAGGGGAGGGAGACGATGAGAGATGAGTAGAGACATGCATGCAGCAAAGCATGGGCTTGTTGCATGCACTGCCCTCGCCCACGTGTATCTCCTCCACGTATAGTCTGCAGGGGAAGAGTGAAGGGAGAGGAGGAGAGGAGACGAGAGGAGAGGAGACGAGAGGAGAGGAGAGGCGAGGCGAGGCAAGGCGAGGCGAAGCGAGGAGCGGTGAGGAGCGGAGAGGGGAGGAGAGGGGAGGGGAGGGGAGAGGAGGGGAGGGGAGGGGAGGGGCGGGGCGGGGCGGTTCGGGGCGGGGCAAGTAGCGTGAGGAGTGGTGACATGCTACTGCAGCAACAACGTTTCACTACGAAAATTTGTTCTTGGCTGGGAGCACGGGGCGGGGGGCAAGAGGCTGGGAGGGTGGGAACAAAAAGGCAGGGAGAAAGGAGCACTTATGAGAATTCTCAAAAGTGATTCAGATGGAGTGAGAAGCTAGAGGGTGGGAGCAAGAGGTGCTTACGCGTCTGCATTGGGGTGTTTCCACACTTTCTTGATCTGCCCCACTCGTATGTCCAATATCCCCACACTCACATCCGCCCCCTTCCCTCCCCCTGCACCCGCCCCTTCCTTCGCTTCACCCTTCTTCTCCTCCCCCTTGCCCTTCTTCTCGTCCTTCCCCTTCCCCTTGCCTGCCGCGTCACCCTGACAGAAGCAGAGGGAAGTGGGATATGGAAGATGCAATGATATCAAGCTCACATGGTCGGCAGCATGGTCACAATGTGATCGTTTCGTGAGTCACATGGCCTGTTTCCTTCGGCTTCAGTTGCCATCCAACATCCAATGCACTGCGTTGGTAAAGGATTTGCTCGGTGCTCGGTTCAAGGATTTGCGCAACAAGTGTGCTGCAGCATGGCAAGATCCTTGAAGAGTCCCAATAATCACAAAACACGTGCGCTGTATCCCCTTTCCCCCCACTGTGTGCCTCCACAACACGATTTCTTGCAGCAAGGGCAGTTTGGGCTTGCCGAGGCACACAAGAGACCGGTGAAACACGGCCTTGCCATACCCACAAGCTTCTCATAATCCAAGCACCATAAGGGCTGACTTTTGAGTCGACTCAATAATCCAAGCACCATAAGGGCTGCTCCACGTAACACCACACACGCTCGTCACCACACACATTCCCTTCACAAATTCGCAAGACTGGGTCAAACACACTCGCCTCTCACCTGTGGTGCGGCAGTGGTGGAAGGGGCAGCAGCCGGAGCAGCTGCTGATGATGAAGCTTCTGCCGGGGCTGCAGCTGCCTTCCCTGCTGCTGCTGTGGAAGGCTTGGCACCTCCCGAACCTGATGACTGGCTCGGCTGCGCTGCAGGTTTGGCAGGAAGAGGAACCGGTGCCTGGTATGGTGGAGTCAGAAGAGCATGCCATACATGCCATACATCCCATCCCACACATGCCACACATGCCATACATATCACACATGTCACACATGCCACACATGCCACACATGCCACACATGTCACACATGCCACACATGCCACACATGCCACACATGCCATACATGTCACACATGCCATACATGTCACGCATGCCATACATGTCACACATGCCATACATGTCACACATGCCATGCCATGCAGCACATGGATCACCAACAGCACATGCAAGTGAGCGTCCAATGTTGGTTCAGCCCAAGAGTCCAAAGCAGCGAGTCGGTTTGAAAGGATCCCCATCATGACTTTTGAGTCGACTCAAAAGTCAACTCGGTTTGAAGGGATCCCCATCATGACTTTTGAGTCGACTCAAAAGTCAACTCGGTTTGAAGGGATCCCCATCATGACTTTTGAGTCGACTCAAAAGTCAACTCGGTTTGAAGGGATCCCCATCATGACTTTTGAGTCGACTCAAAAGTCAACTCGGTTTGAAGGGATCCCCATCATGACTTTTGAGTCGACTCAAAAGTCAACTCGGTTTGAAGGGGTCCCCATCATGGAAACAGGCCATTCGAAGCCGAGTCGAGTCGAGTGAAGCGAACGGCAATCTGCTTTTGAGTCGACTCAAAAGCGAACGGCAATCTCGAGCACAGCAGAAGAAACCAAGGCAGCAGCAGGATAAAAAAAACACAACACTGTCATTTCCCCTTTGATTTTGCCTGCGTGTGAGCGAGCCGATGCCATGCCTCAATGCTTTTGTGTGCGTGTGGGTGCAGTGCGCGCGCGCGTGTGTCTATGCGCGCGCGTGTGTGTCTATGCGCGCGCGTGTGTCTATGCGCGCGCGTGTGTGTCTATGCGCGCGCCTGTGTGTCTATGCGCGCGCCTGTGTGTCTATGCGCACGCCTGTGTGTCTATGCGCGCGCCTGTGTGTCTATGCGCGCGCCTGTGTGTCTATGCGCACGCCTGTGTGTCTATGCGCGCGCCTGTGTGTCTATGCGCGCGCCTGTGTGTCTATGCGCACGCGTGTGTGTCTATGCGCGCGCCTGTGTGTCTATGCGCACGCGTGTGTGTCTATGCGCGCGCCTGTGTGTCTATGCGCGCGCGTGTGTGTCTATGCGCGCGCCTGTGTGTCTATGCGCGCGCCTGTGTGTCTATGCGCGCGCCTGTGTGTCTATGCGCGCGCCTGTGTGTCTATGCGCGCGCGTGTGTGTCTATGCGCGCGCCTGTGTGTCTATGCGCGCGCGTGTGTGTCTATGCGCACGCCCGCACAACGCTTATGCGCATGTGAGTGCACATGCATTGATTGAACGCACTCAGGCGGGTCGAACTTACCAGTGGTGGCAGTGACAGGTGTGAGAACGCCCGACACTTGCCCCACATGCTCCTCCCTTGCTAGCTACATGTGCGTTGCTTGTATGCTTGCTTCGGTGGGTGTATGCTTGTGTTGTGTACATTTCTGTGTGCAACTATCTACCCTCTCCATGCACACACAGGTGGGTCGAACTTGCCAGTGTTGGCAGTGATGTGCGAGAAGAGAAGGTCTCTCCTACATGCCTTTTGGTTGTTGCATGTGCATCGTATGTGTGCTTGCGTGCATGAACATGTCTGTCTGCGTATACCCCCATGCACTCACAGGCGGGTCGAACTTGGCAGTGTTGACGGTAATGTGCGAGAAGGTGTCCCGCACATGTCCCTTGTGCTGCACGAGATCGATCCAGCGCATGAGGTAAGGCAGCTCGTCCCTGTCACACGGCGTCACCAGCAGCTGCGAGGAGAACACACGTGTGAGAGAGGGGAAGGGGAGGGGTGCACAGGCAGGTGAGGGAGGAGGGGAAGGCAGAGAGGCAGAGATTGGTCCCATGTGTGGTGTACATGGCACCGGCTCTGCTCTGCACCAGGCCTCCCCTCGTGGCAGCACTGAGGTGAGGGCTTGACTTGCCATGTGGCATGAAGTGATTGAATGCAGTCACAATGCCTGGAACTTTGATCATCATTTGCATGGCCACTTCTGGGCGGTGTGCTACCACATAGATTGACTTGGGTCTGCATTGTACAAGCATGCGCATGTGTGCACCCACGCCCATGCCCATGCCCACGCACATGCCATCTACTGTGCCGAAGTCATCATTTAACCGCCACGTCATCATGAACTCACCCATCATTATGGATCCTCCACGCCACGTCGCCATTAATCCACCACGTCATCATGAACCCTTATTCTGTTATGTTAGAGTACCTGATCAGCTGCGGCCTGCACGACGTCCACTGCGAGTCTGTCACGTGATGCTCTACGATCCAAAAGTTCACCTTAATCTGTTATGCTAGAATACGCATTGTGCAAGCCCACGCCCATGCCCATGCCTACGCACATGCACATGCACATTCACATACCACCTACTGTTCCCACGTCATCATGACCCCCCACCACGTCATCATGAACCCACCACGTCATCATGAACGGCACCGAAGACTGCAATGTCAGCCAATGTGATCGCGACACCTGGCCCCACGAGCACGGAGCGAGGAGTCAGGTAGGCGTTGAGGGCGCGCAGGCGAGGGAGAGGGTCCAACACTGCAGCTGACGTGGACGCTGACGGGCATGCTGACGTGGCAAGGGAGGCCAGGGAGCCGACGACCCAGGGATGGCGAAGCCACTGAGTCACCTGTTGGGTGGATGAGGTGTAAACGGAAACAGGTAAAAGATGGACAGATAGAGAGAGGGGCGAATGAAGGTGGTGGAGAGGAAGCATGGCAACTAGGCTTCTGAACTCCAATTCCCCCTTTCCTTCCCAATCTTTCTCAAGCTTTCCATACCGTTTCGTGGCCTTCAAATCACTCTTCTGATGCCCATCCCTGCAGAGTGCGCCATCCGTGCAGAGTGTGCGGCATCCCTACCCCCAGCACACCCATCGCCACTAGAGCATTCCCCGTCTGGCCCCCTTCCACTCCACCCCTTTCCTCACCTCAGCGCGCGCGGCGCCATCCCTCCCCAGCAGCGCATTGGCGGCGTCGCCTCCTGTCGCCAGCGCAAGAGCCGCCCACACTGCTGTAGCGCCCGCTACAGGCTGGCTGCTGGCCGCGCTGATGAGGGAGGGAGCGGCCTGCAGAGGGAAGGGGTGGCGGGAGGGGGGTTTTGACGCGCTTTAAAAGCTGCAGCGCCCGCTACAGTCTGCTTGCTGGCCGCGCTGATGTGGGAGAGAGCGGCCTGCAGACAGAAGGGGTGGCAAGAGGGGACTTCGAAATCGCTTCAAAATCTGTAGCGCCCGTTACTGTCTGCTTGCTGGCCGCACTGATGAGGGAGCGGGCGGCCTAAGGAAGAAACCGGGTGGCGGGGGCAGGGAAAAGGGAAATTTGGAAACGGAGAACGGGTAAAAGGGAGTGAAGGGAACTAAGGGAAGGGAGCAGATGGCCTGTAACAACGGGTACAGTCCTCTGCTCATGGGGCAGAGGGCTGGCTGCAGCGCGAGCGACGGGACCAAAGAAAAAAACGTGCGGCATTGAACATAACTTTTTGTTTTCGTTCCTAACAGGCTGACGTGTAGGCCACCAGAGCGTTCTGATCGTTACGTGTAGGCCATCAGAGCGTTCTGATCGTTACGTGTAGGCCACCAGAGCGTTCTGATCGTATCTTATAGAACCCGGCACTGGGAACCTCACGCAGCTTCTATACTCGCCGACGAACAACGAAAGCCTTCGCATTTCACAAACAAGGCTTGAATCCCCACCTTGTGACACCTCGGCTAGCAAGGGTTATAAAAACCCCCTACCCCTCTCGCATGCACCTTAATCTCCGATGGCGAAGTGAGAAAGTGAAAAAATCCAGACGAACCAACGGATCGGCCCAACATGCAGAGGCAGCTAGATGGCTTGACGATCAGCCGTATCGACACGGCCCAATGCGCTACGGCCAGTACTGGGCGTCTGATCAGTCGGCAGACACTTACGACGTTCGCGTCGCAACCGACTATATGTAACTGCCTTCGTAAACGGTCCGGTGGCACTGGAGGTTCTAAGATCCAGTATTGCATCTTAATCTGTTAAGCTAGAGTACCTGATCGGCAGCGGCTTGCACGACGTCCACTGCAAGTCCGCCACGTGCCTTGCACCAATTGGCCACGGCTATCGCTGTTCTCGACGCTACGTCACTCCCAGCCGTGAGAGTCACTGCCGCGGCGCCTTGCGACTGCTCGGACGGAATCCCCATTGCAAGCGGTTTTGGCGGGACTAAAAGCCTTGCTATCAGCCTGAGCAGGGCAGAATTCAGAAAATGGAATCGAGTGTCTTCACAGTAATAATAGTGGGTGGAGTGGGAACTGAAGCTGTCGTCGTCACAGTAAAACCCGGTTTAACGAATACAGATGTTTATACGTTGTTTGTTGTAGAGATTTGTAGTGAGGTGTACCCGGGGAAATATGTATGTCTCAATGTGGCTCCATGAGGTGTATTACGCTGTACAACGTCTATGTAATATTTAGGGCGGGTCTAGCTTTGCACATGTACGGAAAATTTTCAGCTCAGTTACCAGAATGAAGCATGTAACAGAACTTTTTACGTACGAAATCAGTTTGACGCGAGACTGTACATAAATGAGCTCATTTCAGAAACGCGCCCCGGGACGTGCAGGAACACATCCGAAGGTTCGTCTTCCAAATCGCTTCCTGTCCAATTCGTCAAATAGTAACGCCCATTTATCGCCAAAACCGTTTCGCCATAATTTTACTCCTTTCGCCCTAGATGCGGAAACCCTCGCAACATTTGGTAACTCCCTTCCCAGATGCTGTGCCTCGCAACGTTAATGCACCTCGTCAAAAGTCCGCACTGAACACTCCGAACTGGACAGGAAACGTTAGGACTACCCCCTGGGGTACAGTCAAAATTGACAAGTGTGTTGACGTAAAAATGACGGAAAAAATGGGAGTGTGCAAAGTTGGACCCGCCCTTACAAAGGTTGGGTATGGCAATGAGTGAAGATCTTTTGGAAGTTCATGCCACGCCAAGTCTATGTGCATTGGGCTTCTGCTGTTGGGCAGAGGTTGCGACGGGTATGACGCGCGTGATTTCCGCAACCTGACTGGATGAAGTGGATTACGCCATTTTCCATTGTCGCCACTAGGCAAACCCCACTGCTGGCCAAGGGAATAGTTTGACCGAGGCGCCTCTGGGAATGAATTCCCAAGGCGAGGTGGAATAGTGACGACGAAACGACCCTGAGCGTCATTCCCCAACGGGTCGAATCGAATCGCGAGTCGCGACATTCCCAGGACATGCGACGTGTCCTCGTCCGTCAAGTGGATGCAGCTGCAGCTGCGTTCTGTACGTCCGATCAATCAGTGCACCTTATCGAACGGCTTAGCGGGACCAAACGAATCAAGCCTTCGTATGGGCTCACCAGGGTTGGACGGGCATGGGTGGAATTCCTACTACCGCACGGCGAATCGAATCTTGGGAATTGCTGCCCGGTTGCAGGAAGCGTTTCTGTTCCTTGGCGCGGAGCGGCGCGTCTTACGAGACCTGTCACTCTTATCTCCTACCGACAGTATTAGTCACATATCATCGCATACGAATTCGTTACGCGGATGGTCGTCGCCACTGGCGGTGTTACCAGGGGCGATGGACAGCGTTCGCGAGCTAAGCACTCCGTTTTTCGAGGGAAGATTCTCGCTGGCCGACCCTACACAACCCCTGCAAGCATGCTCACCAAAACTCAAAACGTCAGGCGAACTTTCCCAGACGACATTCGCCGAGCGTTGTCCCCCTGCAAGGAAAGAGACTAAAAAACACACCCGCAAACTTCGGAGCTGGAAGAAGGAAAGCGGGATTAATGATCCATGGCAGATTCCTGGATCGCAGAAACCACTTTCCACATCAGCCTGCATCTCATGGCTTCGTTGGACAACGGGAATCTGGAATTCCAGGACCCCTTCTTCTCCCTCCCCGCCTTCGGGTGCTTCTTCTCTGACAGTGCAGCGGCAGCCGCTGGGTACCACTACTCCAACCCTCAAGCACTCGCAGGCGAGAAGCACGCGCGGGAAACGCTTGAGAGCGAAACATTAGAGACCGGAACGTTTGAGCAGCAGACGCATGAGGAGAGGCAGAGGCATGAGAATCTTGAGAGGGAGACGCACGCGAGGGAGAGGCGTGAGAGGGAGACGCATGAAAGGGAGACGCGTGAGAGGGAGAGTCGGTCGTCAATGTCGAACAAGAAGAGCCGCCTGAGACAGCAGTCAGCCATTCTGCAGCGACGAGGTGAGGCCGCTCTGCTCACCCTCCTCCGCACTTCCTCCTCTTGGAGGCACCCTTGGGTTGGGTGTGTCTGACACCAGCCCTTCTGTTCTTTCTGTCATGCTGTAATTACCAAGAGAGCAATGAGGTGTGTTGAGACCAGCGATTCTGCTCTTTCATGTTGCATTTGCCGTAATCTGTTGGCTGTGTGGACATCAGCTCCTGCTATGTCATAGTGCGACCACCATGACCTGTTGGCTGTGCTGAAACCACGTTTTCATGTCAGCCATTGTTCGCTACTATCAGTACACCTCATGGTCGCTCCACCATTCCATTCCACGACCAGGACGCAATGCGGACGCCGCTCGAGACCTCCCTCCTCCTGCCACTGCTGCAACGGCCAACACGGCTGCCACTGCCGGCACTCAGGGCGGGTCTGGCAGTCTAAGTGGTGCTGTCCCTCCAGCGACTGAGGGGAAGGCTGCAACAAGGCAGCGGGGAGGCACCATGAGCAGCCAGAGGAGCTCCATCTACCGCGGAGTCACAAGGTGGGGGCTCTCGTCTGGTATACCCCTCCATCCAGCACTTTCCTCCCATGTAAAGCACGTGTGAAGGTTATAGCCGATTCTGCAAAAGACGGTTTGTCGTTCACTGGGACTCATCGCCTCGTTTCCCGATGAAAATCCAGTGTTGAGGCGCCTGGAAACCGAGACACTTAGTGTCAGTGGCTTTCACTGTTGCAACCCGTGTCTGTCTGTTTCTTGGCAGACATCCCTCGACATGGCACTATGAGGCTCACCTGCGGGATAATTTGTGTTGCAGGGGGGCAAGGTGTATTCTGAGTCAACTCAAAGCATGCTATGTTGATTTTTGAGTCGACTCAAAAATCAACAAGGTGTATTGTGAGTCAACTCAAAACATGGCTATATCTGTCGGAATGCATGGCTATGTGTGTGCTGGCAGGCACCGCTGGACTGGACGCTATGAGGCTCACCTGTGGGATAACTCATGCCCCAAGGAGGGCACCAACAAGCGAGGCCGCCAAGGTGCATCCGCTCTTGTAGTTTGTTCGTTCTTGTGATCTATTCAGTGCCATAACCTTTATCCGAGCCTCACACAGTTTACTAATGGACGTTGTGCTGACTGCCTGTGTCTGCCCTGCAGTCTACTTGGGTACGTACTCTGCCTCTCTGAATGACACACTCCAGTGATACATCAACTTCCATTCCATCTAGAAGATCTCTTTCAGCAAAATGAATGTGACGAGGCTCGCCGTGTTGCAAGTGCAGGAGGGTATGACGATGATGAAACGGCTGCGCGGGCGTACGACCTTGCTGCTCTCAAGTACTGGGGCCCCACTGCTGCTACCAACTTCCCTGTACGTCACACGACTGGTGTGACTGCTTAGCTCAAGCTCATGTAAATCCCCCCTCACTGTACACGACATGCCGCACTCAAGTATTGGGGTCCCCCAGCTGTTGCCAGCTTCTCTGTACGTCACACACATGACAGGTTTGCAACAGAAGTCCCATGCTGTTCCTTTACCGCAACCAGCATTGCTGCACGGGGTTGTGATGCCAGACATATTGAGCTTCCCTTTGTTTCGCATGTCTGGGTACTCGACCCGTTTACGCCCATTTCGTTCTCCTAGTACCCAGATATTCATATTTCTCACTCTCTCTCCCCACCCGTCCTTGTCTCCCTGTCTTTCCTCTCATGTGCATTCTCTCCTCCTAACCCTATCACATCCGTGTTCGACCTACTGGTTCTCCCAGGTTGAGAACTACGAGAGGGAGTTGAGAGAGATGGAGGGGGTTTCCAAGTACGAGTATGTCGCTTCCATCCGCAGGTATGTAATGTCACATGCTCCATGTCCTCCGTGTTCCTTGCTGCATGCCCTATGCTCCATGCACTTTCACGCACGTCCCTTGTGCTCCAATGGCGAAGGACTTAAAAAAGAGCAGCACAGCAAAGCGATCACCTGACACGTCCATGGGAAGGGGCTTGTAGCGGTGGTCATGGGGGGGGGGTTTGGAAGATATCCGGCCAAAGGCAGACATCTTATTGCCCTAGCTGGTGGGCACTTCTTTGGGAGGTCAGGGTTCGATTCCCAGACTGGGTGCAAGTTTGGCGCCAGAGGCCTACGGTACTCCTGAAAGCAGGAGTGTGTGTGCAGTGCCAGGGGCGGTGGGTTCCCGCGGAAAGGCCCACAGTGAAAGACCACTAGAGTAGCATGCTGAGGCTGGCAAGGGGGAGTGCGAGTTGATCCGAGTCGTGCCATGTCTTGCGGTTGCGGCTGTGATGTGATGTGAGTAGTGCATTGTGTCCACCACACCAGGGAGAAGCCACGATGGCAGACACTGCTCATTTCGTGTTACCACTATCTGTGCTGTGCTGCCTCTCTGTGCGTGCCTGGGAGTGCAGGAAGAGCTGTGGATTCTCCAGAGGGGCTTCCAAGTACCGCGGAGTCACCAGGTGCGTGCAAAGCAATCTCTCAGTCGACCAAATAGACACCAGGTGCGTGCAAAGCAATCTCTCAGTCGACCAAATAGACACCAGGTGCGTGCAAAGCAATCTCTCAGTCGACCAAATAGACACCAGGTGCGTGCAAAGCAATCTCTCAGTCGACCAAATAGACACCAGGTGCGTGCAAAGCAATCTCTCAGTCGACCAAATAGACACCAGGTGCGTGCAAAGCAATCTCTCAGTCGACCAAATAGACACCAGGTGCGTGCAAAGCAATCTCTCAGTCGACCAAATAGACACCAGGTGCGTGCAAAGCAATCTCTCAGTCGAGTCGACCAAATAGACACCAGGTGCGTGCAAAGCAATCTCTCAGTCGACCAAATAGACACCAGGTGCGTGCAAAGCAATCTCTCAGTCGACCAAATAGACACCAGGTGCGTGCAAAGCAATCTCTCAGTCGACCAAATAGACACCAGGTGCGTGCAAAGCAATCTCTCAGTCGAGTCGACCAAATAGACACCAGGCGCGTGCAAAGCAATCTCTCAGTCGACCAAATAGACACCAGGTGCGTGCAAAGCAATCTCTCAGTCGAGTCGACCAAATAGACACCAGGTGCGTGCAAAGCAATCTCTCAGTCGAGTCGACCAAATAGACACCAGGCGCGTGCAAGCAGCCAGGAGTCACCAGGTGTGTTACAGGCTGTGGAAATCAAGTAGGGGTCAGAGCCACTGGGTACAGCAAGTGCGGTTCAGTGGATTGAGACGTCTCAAAACACTCCTTCTTTCATTTGAGACGTCTCAATACAGGCTGTGGAAATCAAGTAGGGGTCAGAGCCACTGGGTACAGCAAGTACGGTTCAGTGGAGAAGGCAGGGGCCTGGACGAGGTATACACAGATTGTGGAAGCTGGTGGGGATTGCTTTGTTTTGCCCGCTTTGCTGGTGCTGTTCTTCAATAACACCCGCCCGCCCTCCCCTTGCCTGTGGTGCAGGCACCATCAGCACGGGCGGTGGGAGGCGCGCATAGGGCGAGTCATGGGCAACAAGTACCTCTACCTGGGGACGTTTGGTGAGTGCTGTGTGGGGGGGGGTGAGTGGGGGGAGTGATGTGGGTGAGTGGGAGTGGTGTGCGAAGGTGAGGAGACTCTAAAGGGCAACAAGTACATCCAGCTGCTGACTTTCGGTGAGAGGGGAGTGGAGAGTGTGGTGAGCAGTGTGTGAAGAATGGTGGGTGCGGAGTGCTGTATGGTTAGTGGGGTGTGTGGTGTGATGTCTGGTTCTGGGATCCCTGTGGCATGCCTTGATGTTTCCGTATGTTGCCTGCAGCCACACAGGAGGAGGCAGCAGAAACATACGATATAGCCGCAGTCAAGTACCGAGGGCTCAATGCGGTTACCAGCATTAGCCTGCCACCCTCATCATAAGTCTTCATTTCATCGCTCGATGTGTACGTGCAGCCACGCAGGAGGAGGCAGCAGAGGCATACGACATAGCAGCAGTGAAGTACCGAGGGCTCAATGCAGTTACCAACTTTGACCTCAGCCGCTACATCGATGGGCTCAGCTCTCAAGCGGATGACCCTCAACTAGCGGAGGTAATATCACAAAATGGCCATTTACACCTTTCTTTTTTGTAAGCGCATGTCAAGCTTATACTGAAAACGGGGAGTTTTTGTTGAGTGATTTATATTCTACAGGAACCCGTGAAGGCGGATTCTGCAGTGCAGCAGGCGATCTCGGACCTGGTTCCCCAGTTCCTGCCATTCCAGAGTGACCATGCAGCTGTGTGCTTCACTCAAGCAGCATCAGTTGACCTCAGCGCTCCCCTACCCCTGCCCATGCATTCAGCGCACATGCTGTCAGCAGGCACACCGAACATGGTAGGTTCGTTCACATCATTGAATACATTACTTAATTAGTCATGCATTTGTTTCTGTCCTCTGGTGAAGAGACAGTGTGCATGTGCCATGACTGGTGAGGTATATGACTGATGAGTGCTGTGCATGCATTGGGGATGGGCATGACAGGTGCCATTGTACAGCCAGCAGAGCATAGAGGTGGACCAGCAGCATCACGATGGACAGCCGCTCCCAAGCTTTGCTGCTTGGTACGACGACCTCAGCTCCGACATTGGCTAGACCATGCAGCTGCTTTTATCACTTCCATGAATCCTTGAAAGTGCACAAGCATAGCCAAGCTTCGCTGCTTGGTACAATGTCCTGGCCTCCGATATTGGCTAGATGATGCTGCTGCGGTTGCTTTTATCTGGCGTGCACCAACCGGCACACTTTGTTTTGAGTTTCAGTACGAAGTGAAAGCCTGTACAAGCAAGCATGTTGCGTGTAAGTAATGTTGGAGAATTGGCTACTGTGGAAAATGCATGTATGTATGGTACTCAAATTGGTATTCAGATGGGCAAGTAAGCAGGTCTGGGCAATGTTTATCCTGCAACTAGCATGTATGTGCTCAAAATGAATCAGAATTAGCAGAATATGGCTGAACCTGATAGTCAGTAAGACAGCTCCAGCCGACCTGTTAACTCTGATTAGAAGCGCTAGCCTCTTTCCCACTAGTAACGAACGGCCGAGGCCGTCAATATGAGAGCGATGACAGAACCAACCCTGCATGTGCCTCGCTCGCAGCGCGGCAACTCCAGGCTCGTTGCTCAGCAGCAACAACACGGTACCAGTAGGTTCCTCGATCCACGAAGCACCTGTTTTACTTTCTACAGCAGAATTTGCTCCCTCAACCACTACAATCCCAGGAGCAACGGTTTAGATTACCGTAGCCACCGCGTTCTTGCCAAGATAGCCCTTCTCGTATTTTCCTTATCGTCCTGGCATTAAGCTTCTAAATATTCTCGTACTACCATTCCGCCTCCGTCGCTTGCTGCGCTTCCCCGCGGGCCGCCGTTTAAGCCGCAATCATGGCGCCGCGGCCGCCCCCCAGTGGCAGTGCGGGTCTGCGCAGTCCGCGCGCGGATGACGGGATAGAACCAGCGCATGCGCGAGACGACCTGATAAAATTCGCGGATCCTCCGCATCCGGAGGCGATCAATTTCTCTGCGGCAGCGGCGGCGACAACGGCGGAGGAGTTTTATGAAGAAGTGGAGGAAGGGGAGGAGGATGACGGGAGTGAGTTTCTGGAGCGCGCGCGGAGCCACCAGGAGGCGGAGGACGAGCGCGCGTACGAGCCGGAGGAGCAGATCGACGTGTCGCGTTACAGCCTGCCGCTACAGACGCCGGGCGGCAAGGAGGGTGAGGAGCTGGGCGGCTGACACTGGTTGGTGCGCCATAGCCCTCCCTCTCCCCTCCCCCCCATTGCTTTCCCATCCCCCTGCCCGGCCCTCCCCCTGCTCCGCTCTCCCGTCCCCCTGCTCCCCCTTCCTATGCGCCTGGACCCACTACACCCCCATACAGACACGTGTCGCTTCTTGTACCCTTTTCCGTGCACCCACCTGCTACACCCCATCCCCCATACAGACACGTTCCGGTTCTCGTGGCGGCGCTTCTGCATCTTCGTGGGGCCGGGCTTCCTCATGAGCATCGCTTACCTGGACCCCGGCAACCTCGAGAGTGATTTGCAGGTGAGAGGGCAAGTGAGGGGGGCCAATGAAGTGGTTTCCTCTTGAGCATCGCTTACCTGGACCCCGGCAACCTCGAGAGTGATTTGCAGGTGAGCGCTTGCTTGCCGTGTTCCCATGGGGCTGGGTGCATGGATGGATGGGGGTGCAGTATGAGGGGGGCAGAGTGAGTTGCTTCCTCATGAGCATCACGTATCTGGACCTGGAAATTGTTGTGACTGATAAGCTTCCTGCACCTGTTTTCTTTCTGCCCACCGCCTTTGCAATGTGCACATGCGTGTGTGCTGCGTGGCAGGCAGGCGCACAGACAGGGTATGCGCTGCTCTGGATTCTCTTCTGGTCCACTGCACTCGGCCTGCTGCTGCAGGTGAGCGTGGGTGGGTGGGTCTGCTGCTGCAGATGCATCTCGGCTAGTTATTGGGCCATGCCAAGTGGTTATTGGGCCATGCCAAGTGGTTATTGGGCCATGCCAAGTGGTTATTGGGCCATGCCAAGTGATTATTGGGCCATGCCAAGTTGTTGTTGCCTCACGCACACTCCCGGCCCCCAGCTTCTCCTCTTGCCTGTTTGCATCTGTTCGCTCTCCTCATATGTGACCCTGGTTTAGCCTGAGTGCATCTGATTCCACCGGACATCTCGTGCTGGAAGGTAGTAAAAAAGCACCACACAACATTATCGAGGGTATTTTTGAGACGTCTCAAAAGTACTCTCGCTTCACGTGGCACCCGCACAACATTATCGAGACGAGACGTCTTTTGAGGCGCCTCAAAATACACCTCATTGCATCTGATTCCGCCGGACATCTCGTGCTGGAAGGTAGTAAAGAGAGCACCGCACAACATTATTGAGACGAGACGTCTCAAAATCTGTTTCCGCCGGACATCGCATGCCGGAACAGGTAGAGAGGGGGGGCACCACACAACATTTTCTTCATTTCCTCTGCACCACGCACTTTTCAGAAACGTCTGAAACGATCCACACACTCCTCACGATCCACACACTCCTCACGATCCACACACTCCTCACTGACCCTCCGTTTTCCCTATCCACTCTCCCCTATGACTGTGTCACCGCCCATGCTTCAGGCCATAGCAGCGTGGGTAGGCGTGGTGACAGGGTTCCATCTAGCAGAGCTATGTCGCATCGCATGGAATTCTGTTTCCCCAGGCGCACCGTGCCTCCTTCTAACCCCTTTCTCCACGTGCCTCCCCTTCCCTCTCCCCATCCCCCTTGCACCAACCCACAACCCACCCAGGCCATAGCAGCGCGAGTGGGTGTGGTGACGGGGTGCCATCTAGCGGAGCTGTGCCGCATGGAGTACTCACCCCCCGTGCGCTGGGTGCTGTGGGTGATGACGGAGGTCGCTATAGTGGGGGCGGACATTCAGGAGGTGATAGGCTGCGCCATCGCGCTGCGCATCCTCAGCAGGGGGGCTATTCCCATCTGGGCGGGGGTGCTGATTACAGGGCTGGACAGGTGCGTTTGCGGTTTGGTTTGGGTGAAGCACACGCCTGCTATGCTGTGGGGCATGACCGAGGTGGCCATAGTGGGCGCGGACATTCAGGAGGTCATTGGCTGCGCCATCGCCCTGTGCATCCTCAGTAGAGGCGCCGTCCCCACCTGGACAGGTGCGGTCGGTCCTCGCAGGGAGTAGAGTAGTGGGTTGGGTTGGAGAGGCTTGGATCTGGTCACACCGTGACTGTCGCTGTTCCCTGTCCCTCCTTCCTCCTCACCCGGCCCCTCCCCGCCTCCCCTTGCTTCCTCCTCCCCTTCCTGGGGAAGTTTGTTCACAACTCAGCGCGCCGTTTGGTCTCTTCATCGCAGTCTCGCCATTCCGCTACAAAGCAGTCTCGCCATTCCGCTACAAAGCAATCTCTTGCGCTGCCGTGCCTTGCCTTGCTGCCTCCCACCCCTCCCCACCTCTTCCCAGCTTTCTGCTACTCTTCCTGGAGAGCTGTGGCATTCGCAAGCTACAGGCGCTCTTTGGTCTCTTCATGCGCTGTCACGCCAGCCAGGAGCCTCAAACCACTCTCCTTCCCTTGCTTTGGCTCGCCTTGCCTTTGTTTAAACCCCCCCCCCCCCCCTCCCTCTCTCTCCCCGTCCCCGGCCTTACGCCAGTTTCCTCCTCCTTTTCCTGGAGAGCTTTGGCATCCGCACGCTGGAGGCGCGCGCTCGTTGGTGTCTTCTTCATTGCTGTCATGCCAGGCGTCTCAGCCACTCTCCTTGCTCTCTCCTGCCTTGCCTTGCCCTGCATTGCCTTGCTACCCCCCCAGCTTCCTCCTCCTCTTCCTCGAGAACAGTGGCATTTGCAAGCTGGAAGCGCTCATTGGGCTCTTCATGGCTGTCAGTCATGCCAAGGCGCCTCGCCTCACACTCGCCTTGCTCTGCTCTGCCTTGCCTTGATGCCCTCCCTCGCCATCTCCCTCCCCAGCTTCCCTCTCCTCTTCCTCGAGAACTTTGGCATTCGCAAGCTGGAAGCGCTCTTTGGGCTCTTCATGGCTGTCATGGCAAGGCGACTCAACCGAACCACCCTCCTTGCCGGGCATCCCCTTGATGTGCATCCCCTTGATGTGCATCCCCTTGATGTGCATCCCCTTGATGTGCATCCCCTTGATGTGCCTCCCTTCTTCTTCCAGCTTCCTGCTTTTATTCCTCGAGAACTTTGGCATTCGCAAGCTGGAGGCGCTCTTTGGGCTCTTCATCGCTGTCATGGCTGCTTCCTTTGCCCGCATGTTCGTGGAAGCTGCGCCTGACGCGGGGGCCATTGCTCATGGTGGGTGGACCAACAAGCACGCGCATGCTTTCATGTGGGTGTGTTAATTCATGCTGCATGCTTTCATGTGGGTGTGTTAATTCATGCCGCATGCTTTCATGTGGGTGTGTTAATTCATGCCGCATGCACATCTCATGCACACTCACATGCTGAATGCGTGTACATTAAGACTGCATACTTTGAAGGCATCTCTGTCATCACTCTCACACCACATCACATCACATCACATCACATCACATCATATCACATCACATCACACCACATCACATCACACCACATCACATCACATCACATCACATCACATCGCATCGCATCACATCACACCACACCACATCACATCACATCGTATCGCATCACATCACATCACACCACATCGCATCACACCACACCACACCACATCACATCACATCGCATCGCATCGCATCGCATCACATCACCCCTTTTGCATACCCAACCTCCTCCTATGCAGGCATGCTCGTCCCCTCCATCCCTCAGGGAGCAACGAGCATGGCAGTGAGCAAACTAGACAGGGTCATCATGTCTCTCATGCCCCACCACCACGCCTGTACACATACCCATGCACCCGCATGCAGGCTTGCGCATCCACTCCATCCCTAGAGGAGTCCCTTTTCCCCCCTTTCCCTCACTGTTTCTTCCCATCCCCGCCCATGCCCCAGCCCCGCTGTTGTCCTAGTGCCCTCTATCCGTCACGGAGCCACCAGCATGGCAGTGAGCATACTAGGTGCAGTCATCAAGCTGCACAACATTTTCCTGCAACGTTGTCCCTATCTTCCTCTCATTCCAAACCCCAATGCATGCAGGCCTTCTGGTCCCTTCCATACCCCGCGGGGCAACGAGCATGGCAGTGAGCATACTAGGCGCAGTCATCATGCCGCACAACATCTTCCTCCACTCCGCCCTCGTGCAATCGCGCGCTATCAACCGCCACTCCCCACCGCGAGTGGCAGAGGCGCTGCTCTACTTCACGCTCGAGTCCGCCCTCGCCCTGCTGCTCTCCTTCCTCGTCAACCTCTGCGTCGTCTCCGTCTTTGCCCGCCTCTTCTACGGCCAACCGGGGGCAGTGGATATTGGGCTGGATAACGCTGCTGAGTATCTGCAGGTATGTGCGTGCGTGCGTGCGTGTGGGCGTGCGGGCGGGGACCATGTGAGGCTCTCCACGTGTACCCAGGGCGCACTCAACTTTGGCCGCGAGAACGCTGCTGGGAACCTGCAGGTACGTGTGGGTGGCCTTTGAGACGCTCAAAATGGTGGAGACACTTGAGGCGTCTCAGAAGTGCCCAGGAGAGGGGCGTCCTCTGCCCAGGAGAGGGGCGTCCTCTGCCCAGGAGAGGGGCGTCCTCTGCCCTCCCCCATCACTCTTTTCCCCTCTCCATTTCCCCTCTCCATTTCCCCTCTCCATTTCCCCCCTCTCTTTTCGTCTTTCAATAGAGCACCAATTAGGTGCCATGGTTTCAGTACGTGGCAGTAACTGTTAGGTAAGACACCTTGCAAGTTGTTTTGTGTGCTTTCTTCCCTCTCTTTTCCTCTTTCCCCCCTCACACCACCCTGCCCTCCCAGCAAGCCTTCGGCTCAACGACCTTCCCAGTGGTGTTCATCTAAGCGACCTGCCCACCCCTGCCCACCCCTGCCCACCCCTGCCCACCCCTGCCCACCCTTGCCCGCCCTTGCACATTGCTGCCCTTGCAGCAAGCGTTCGGCTCAACCACCTTCCCAGTGGTGTTCATTTGGGCGGCCGGGCTGCTAGCAGCGGGGCAGTCATCAACCATGACAGGCACATACACGGGGCAGTTCGTCATGTCGGGCTTTCTCGACCTGCATGTGCGCAAGTGGGTGCGCGTGCTTGTCACCCGCACCGTCGCCATCGTGCCCACCATCGTCGTTGCCCTGCTCTACACCTCGCCGGCTTCTCACACACCACACTCACCACCGCAGCTGTCACCACCCATGGCAGCACTGGCTGTGCAAGTGACAGGGGGAGCGGGTACAGTAGAAGGGGCAGCAGCAGCAGCAGCAGCAGCAGGCGGATTGCTCAACGAAGCGTTTTTCACTCCGTCTCCCTTTCCAACCTCCTCCATGCCCTTCCCTCTCACCAACACCTCCCTTCCTGCCCCCTCTTTCTCCTCCTCACCTGTCTCATCCAGCCCGTCATCACTGCAACTTTCAACCTCGCAGCACACCCCACTCTCCACCTCACTACCCTCCGCACCGCACATGCTATCACTCTCGTCGTTGGACGTGCTGAACCAGTGGCTCAACGTGCTGCAGTCCGTGCAGCTGCCCTTTGCTGTCATCCCCCTGCTAGCCATTGCATCGTCAACACACGTGATGGGAAGATATGCCATCAAGGGAGCAGTGAAGGTGAGCGTTATTTGCTGTTAGTGCAGTGCAGCTGCTGTTGCTGCTGCTGCTGCTGCTGCTGCTGCTAGTTTTGAGGCGCCTCAAAACTATTCGCTGCTGGTGCAGTGCAGTGCAGGTGCTACTGCTGCTGTGTTGCCACGGTGAGATCACTGGGCGTGCAGCAGTCCGTGCAGCAGTCAGTCCGTGCAGCAGTCCGTGCAGCAGTCAGTCCGTGCAGCAGTCCGTGCAGCAGTCTGTGCAGCAGTCCGTGCAGCAGTCCGTGCAGCAGTCCGTGCAGCAGTCCGTGCAGCTGCCCTTTGCAGTCATCCCCCCCCTCGCCATCGCTTCGTCAACACACGTCATGGGCCGATATGCCATCAAGGGGGCCGTCAAGGTAAGGTGTGAGTGAATGTAAGTGAGTGATTGTGAGTGAGAGCGTGTAGTGTGAGTGAGTGTGAGTGTGAGTGAGTGTGAGTGTGAGTGAGTGTGAGTGTGAGTGAGTGTGAGTAAGTGGGAGTGAGGGTGAGTGTGAGTACGTGGCGGTCCGTGCGGCTGCACGATTACCGTCAACCTCTACGGCCCTCTTCTCTCTTCACCACATCCTTTCTTTCTTTAAACATCTGGACTTCTCTCTAGCCTGGGCTTCATCAGCCCATTTGATCATCATGTACCAATCTCTCCATATGTCTCCATATGCCTCTCTTCCTACTCTTGTTCCCCACTGCAGGTGCTAGCGTGGGCATCAGCAGCGCTGGTAATCACTATCAACCTCTACCTCCTCTTTGACTTCGCCACAACCAACTTCCCTCACTCGCTCTCAACATTCCTCCTCCTCCTCCTCCTCTCCCTCCCCTACCTCCTCTTCCTCATCCACCTCGCCCTGCACCCCCGGAGCGAGGGCTCCGAGTTCAACCATCCGCACCGCTCTCGATCGCACAGAACCTGCAGCAACGAACACTGCCATCTCTTCAGTCCCACTGGGGTTGATCAGTCGGATTGTGTAACTTGTTCTGGTGCTCCTGATGCTACCGGTGCTCCTGATGCTACCGGTGCTACTGGTTCTGTTGGTTCTGGTCAAATAAATGAGAGTGTAGGTGGCTCAGTTTATAGTTGTCGCAACAGCAGCAGCAGCAGCAGCAGCAGCAGAGGGACAATCCTCCCACTTCCTCCAGGTGGACGTGCGGGGGCGGGAACTGGGCTACGCACGCCTTTGCTGGAGGAGAAGCTGGACGAATAGCTCTTTTCCAGGAGGAAAGTGGAGCGGGTAACGAGTTGCAAGAGATATTTTTTAGTTTGTTAGGCATGCACAGGAGTGTACACAGCGTATACGTCCAGTACAAGGCTTGATTTGCATTTTATTATCCCTGTACCTTTCGCACAAGTGACAGGCAGGTTCCTAGCTTCCACATGACCCAGGCCTGTGTATAACCCATGCACAATTGCAGGAGGCAAATGATACCGTAGACGGCTGCTCACCATGATTGTTGCGTGGCTAATATTTATGCAATCAGGTACCCCCCGCATTTGCCATAAATTACCATACGTGCCATGTGCGGTATGCCGTTCCATGGCAAATTCAATGCATAGTTCACACTACTGCCGTGCCCTATGTAGACTTCATAGTTGAAAATGTGAGCTGCAAATGTGATGTGCCTATGGTACTGTAAACCCCCATAACACCCACCCAGGCAAAGACTATATGGTAGCTTATGTTTCCCGGAGGGGCATCTTGCAAGTGGTACTATGATACAACGAAGCCAGGCACGTAATACCTGGCCATAAACATATCACACCAGAATGAAAGAATAGGAAGTATTAACCACTTCTCCACAGTTAGCCCATACTCTATGTCAATCCCATACTGCTATCTGTCCGCGACTCCGTGAGTGTTGCAACGATCATAGAGCACCACTCGAGTATCTGCCAGCTGCTGCACTGCACCCAGTGTGATCCATCCACCCCCAACCACCCAGTGCGTGTGACCCCATGTCTCCAGCCAGCACTTATCCATCACGGACGCATCGCATCAGCCCAAGCTTTATTTCTCCACAGTCCATGCCCATCGCCACCCCACCTTCTCCCTTCCGAACCCATCCCATCCGCACCGCTCTCAAGGAGTACTACTCCATCTCGTATTGTCTTGGATGTGCTTCGTGCCCATTCGCTGCACCAGCGCATACGTGTCGGGCTCCGGTTGGTTGAAATTGCTGTAGTAAAACACGTCCAGCACTCTCCGCGGCCCCACCTTCCCCCTTGAGCAGCTCTTGAACTTGGGCTTCTTGACAACCAATGGGGAGGTCGCCGTCACCGCCAGGTCATCATTCGCAAAGCTCGCGAAACCAAGCGAGTTACCATCTGTAACGTTTGTCACCTTCCAGTAGTTGAACATGGCTACAGTGGTGAGGTTCTCGCAGTACTTGAACCAAGTATTGCGCTTGTTGTTAATGATTACGAGGTCGAGGAAATTGTCGGAGGGCAGGCCGCTGCATGACCCCGTTTGGGCGGCAGAGAGAGTGTTGGCGGTGTTGCAGGGGTTGCCGCTGATGGTCTGATCGAGACAGATGTCCTTCATCCACGGCCAGAGCTGGAATACAAGGGAAGCGAGGGAAGCAGCCGGGAGGAAAAGAGTCAGTAATCCCACAGGGCAACTCTTGCTCAGGGCGGCAAAGGTGTATCCATCCCACTCTTGTACTCGTCACTGAACCCAAACTGGTGACTCGTTATAAGCACACCAGCAGTGCAACTCACATTGTTCCAGAGCGGCGTGTCGTAGTACTTGCGGCGCATGGACTCCCAGTAGGTGCCCGGGCGGATGGCGCAGTTGTTGAGTGTGGGCGTGAGGCATGTGAACCACCCTGTCATGCCCGTCACATTCTTCATAATCACATCCTCCACAAAGTTCCTGCAAGAGGCAAGAGCCAACAGGGAGACAAAGGGGAAGAAATGGTGAGGACGGGGATTCTATGATGGTTTATGAGGCGCCTTCTAAAGTTAAGGAAGGAGATCATGAAGAAATGGGACGAAACAAGTGTAATTTGTGTTGGGCTCATGAATGAAACAAGTTTGGGGGTCATACAGATGGAATTCGCCTAGAGAATGCCGACTCACCATTTCCCGTTGTTGACTTTGATGCCGTCGTAAGTCCCGATGCACGCACCGCCGCGCACTGTGATTCCTGACGAAACATAATCCAAGTAGTAACAGTGGTCCCCGTTATAAATATAGTTACACTCCGCTACATTCCCGGGGTTGAACCAATGTGTACAGTAATAAATCCCCGCCGCGTCTTGGTCGCCGCTCATGTTTCGCGCGGTCGCCACAACCAGGTTGTTTGAAATCGTCGACAGCATGCAATCGCCCTGCAGGCTGACGTCAGCGCCGCAACGAATCCCCGCGAAAAGGTAATCGTGCACGTAATTGTTTCGCACGGTTACCCCCACCGCCCCGCGGTAGATCACAATACCCGTGTGTACACCTGCAAAATCGGAAACGGGTTTGGTAGAAAGAGAGAATTGATTGGTGGGGTTCATTGAACAGAGGACTCGGAGATGAGGCGGATGAAATGATGAGAGGAAGAAGATGAGGGCGGTTGGGAGGGTGATAGTGGTGGGTAGGGCGGGGGGTTTCGTGGGAGGGAGTGGACGGGGCTGGGAGTGTGAGAGAGGTAGGGGGGGGGGGGGTGTGTCGAAACCCTGTCGGAATGTGTGCTGCGGGGAGGGAGGCGAGGCGGGGAAGTCTAGGAGGCGACGTTAGGCGAGGCGAGGGCTCACCGTAGACTTCGTTATTCGTGATGGCGATATACGACGGCTCCAGCGTCGGCCCGTACCCGCAGTACGCCACGCGAATCACGCCGTTATTCAAGTCGAAATCCGAGACGCCCGTCACCTTCATGCTGTCGATGCGCGACACGACGCTGCGGAACACGTCGATGCGCCCGAACAGAGTTCCCTTCACCACCTGCACGTGATGGCAGCCGTAGATCGACACCGTCGGGCAGATGATCCCCGCGCCGATGCTCGGAATGTTCGCGCAAGGAGCCGACGCGGCCGTGTACGGCTGTTGGAAGCTGATCCCGTGCACGAGCACGTTGCTCGTGTTCCAGATGCGCAGCAGCGGCTCGTCCGTGCTCGCGAGCGAGAGCGTCGCGCCGTTGGGCGGCGCGCGCGCGGAGCGCAGGATGGTGCAGGCGTAGGAGGCGTTAAAGAGCAGCCCGCGCGTTAAGGCGAGGTCGGACTGGAGCTCCAGGATGACTGTGGATCGCGGGGAGTACTGCAGCCGCAGCGCGAAGTCGTCTTCGGTGAACACGGCGATCTTGACCGCCGTGAGAAGCGGGGAGCAGGGCTGAGGCGTCTCGGTGGCGACTGGAGCGGGTGGGGACGGGGAGCGGGGTGGGGAGGGGGGTGGGGAATGGGGATGGTGGGGAAGGACTTTGAGCGAGGGGCCAAAGCTTAACTGCTAAGTGTGGGGAAGACAGTCAGGGGAAACGAATACCGCGGAGGGTTCTCGAGGAGGAATGGAAAGAATTGGAGCAATGGGGCGGAGGGAAAGGGGAAACGGAAGAACGAGGGGAAGCTTGGGGAATGGGGAGAGCGTGGGTGAAAGTGATACTGTTTTGAGCGGATTCATGACTAGGAGGCACACATTGAGACACCGTGTGGCGACACATTTGCGTATCGTTGCGACGACTCGCGAAGAGGGAGCAGGAGCGAGGCTAGGGGGGAATGGTTGCAACATTCAGTCGACTGATCAAGGGGAACTCAACCAAAGAAAGATGATACTAGAAAGGCGCGGCGTTTGCGTCGAGAGGAAGTGCGTACCAGCATTGCTTGTCGAGTACACTGCCATGCTGCTGCTGGCGAGAGATAATGTCGACGTTGTCGTCGTGCTGGTGGTGTCCAATAACGAGTACCGATGCGGGAGCGAGACATTCTCCCCTCTTGTTCCGTCACTGTTGCTGCTCCCATTGCTGTCTCCGTAAATGCCGCCAACCTTGCCATTGCCTTCCTCGGGGAACTCCGCGCCTCGGGGAAGTCTGGCGCTGCTACGCAGCTCCGTGTGCCGGCCATTTTGCCATTCGTCAGTTCCGACAATTTGGCCGTCTATTTGGCCGTCAAGCACAACAGAGTGTCCCTCCTCCTGTCCCCTTTTTCCTCCACCCGACCGTTGTTGGAAAAGGTCGGCGAGTAGGGGCAAAAGATGATGGCGCCGCGGCAGGCTGCGACTAAGGCTAACTGAGTAGCTATGGCCGCTCACGCGCGCGCGCGCACAGAAGAAGAGGGTTAGAAGCAACAGTTGAAGACTTGCGCGAGCGAGGAAGTCAGGTCGCAAGCGTGAGGTGCGTGTCCGAAGCATGTTGGCTGATGTATTGGTGGTGGATTTGAGCGGGCTTTATGTCAGAATGGTGAAACGCTTAGGAGATGCTACTACGTCGAGTTGATTAGGAGATGCAAGAACAAGAAATCGTTATCAGCTCGGCGTTGAAGAAGTGCAGTGAATTCGTCCAGCCAGCCTGTGAACGTGTAGTTATTGAAGATTGAGGGCTGGTCCTTGTGTATCGTGCAGCTTGCCTTCAATCAGCACAACACCACAGATAACTGCTGCTCTCAGATCGCCATCTCAAAAGTCAGGGGCACAAGCCACCAAGCCACCAAGAGTTAGGAGTCAGTAGGCTGGAACGGGATGGGATGGAATTCGTGGATGCTGAGTCCCTCTGCATTGGGTGAATGCCCCTTGTTTCGTACGTTACACTTTCAAGCTGCCAGTCCTCCCTCACACCAGCAAGTTCTGGAACAAATGCTGCCCGTTTAGGATCGTAGCAGCCCGCCTATTTACGAGACTTTCTGTCCCTCACCCGACCAACTCAACAATGTGGGGGCTCAAACTGTCAGAAGGACATGTCACTGATGACAGCTGCCTCTCGTTCGCAGCATTCCCATGGCGCTGTCGACTGTCCAGACCATGCGTGATCGCAGCTCAACAACCTCTCTACAGTACCCGAACCAAGCCGACAGAAACTTCTTACTGCCCGCCCGTTCGAGCAGCCACAAGTTTGCAGTTTCCGTTTCACATTGGGCCACTGAAAATCCCGGAAATTCATTGGGCTGTTCTCCCGATTGAGTAACGGATTCCACTGTTTCTATGCGTTCGTACGCGGGAGCTTCTGTTGAGTCCCTTTGGTCACTCGCCTGTCGTGGAATGACGTGGAGACAACCTTTCACAGCTTCATCTATCTGGCCAGATGCTCCAGACCGACAGCGCCACCAACCGTTTCACATTCGATAACAGCTTCCCGTCTAAAAGGATTTTCATCAAGTGCGTATGTTCTTGACATTTCAAAGTTCAACATCAACTACCTAGACATATTTGAGAGAGCAGAACGCAGCTACGATAGTGGTACCACTGTAATGTCAAGTAATAATCCTGAATGTTTTATATTTCCACAAGGGATTTCTCCAACCAACCTTTCTTACTGTTTAAATTATTCTTATATCTTGTAGTACATGACAAAAACAGAACGTAGTGTTAGGCCCCTTAGCCTAAATCCGCTAAAGAATAGCGGAGTCGACTAAGTCGATGATCAAATGTGGTGGAAGACTTCGGCGAAAGAAGTGTTGGCAAAATAGGCAAAGGAGTTACTGAGTAATTGAAGAGTTGAATATGAATTGGTTGGTAATGGCAAGTACAAGCAAGGTTTAAGTAGCATGCAAGAGCGATAGTTGGAAAGTAGTTTGTGGGACAAGGAATTGTAAAGCGAGAAGACTAAAGTGCCACGTGGCACAACGAAGTCAAGGAAATCCCAAAGGGATTGGATGGAGATAAGGTTGGGATTGGGTTTGGGGACTGTTTGGGATAAACCACCCTTGAACAGTAAATTACCCTATAACACTACCCCCTCCCAAAGAGGCAACGTCCGCGGCGCCTGCAGACTGAAGGTACGCTTGGAGGCAAGCGTTGTCGGGAGGCAGCGAGGATGAAGGAGCCCAGCTGTCGTCGGTTGCATCGTAACCACGCCAACGAACCAAGAAATCGATGAAAGAGACACCCCCCTGGAGACGGCGACGGTACCTGAGGATGCGCTGGATCTGGTAGTCGGGCTCATCGGTGTCAACAGCTACCGGCAGTGGAGTGCGATCACGGCTCGAGAAGGTGGCGTTGGGATCGGTGTATGGACGAAGGAGAGACGTGGAATGACGGGTGTATGCGGAAATGAGCGGGAAGGCGGAGGCGGTATGCGACTGGACCTAGTGCGTGTTCAACGACGAATGAACCAATGTAACGAGGGCGAAGCTTGCTGTCCTGTGGCAGTCGGAGGTTGCGGCCGTCAAGAAGGACACGGTCGCCAACTGAAAATGACACCTCACAACGACTGTGGTTGGTGGTGCGTGCCATGCGTGCATTTGCGAGCTGAAGGTGCTTTCTCACGTGATCATGAATGAAGGTGAGATGTTGGTGGAAGTTGTCAGCACGTGGGACTGTGGGTGTGAGATCGACATGAGTGGGGACATTGGGGTGCTGATCGTACAGTGCGAAGAATGGTGACATGCCTGTGGACGAGTGGTGTCTGTTGTTGTAGGCGAACTCGGCCATGCTCAGCTTCTTGTCCCATGCGGTTGCGTCGTGCATCGTGATGCTGCAAAGAATCTACTCCAAAGTCTGGTTCACATGCTCAGTCTGTCCGTCTATCTCTAGATGATACGCAGACGGCATGGGTAAGCGAGTCCCAAACAGTGCGAAAAGCTGCTTCCAAAACTTCAAAGTGAAACGAGGGTCACGGTCTAAGATAATGGAACATGAAACCCCGTACAGTCGGACTACGTTATCTACGAACAGCGTCGCGGCTTACTCTGCTGTGACCTTGCCATGCGTGGGGATGAAGTGCGCTGCTCGAGAAAACTTATCCACTACCACGAAGATGGCGTAGTGACCCCTAACTGTGCGCGGTAAAGCCATGATGAAGCCCATCGTAACTACTTGCCAAGGGCGGTCAGGTGGTGGAATCGGCCGCAAAAGTCCTGCCTTGCGCTGGCGAGAAGACTTCGTACGCTGACACATGTCGCACGAGCGAATATAATCCTCTACGTCTGCTGCAAGCCCTGGCTAGTAGTTCGTGCGACTAAGCGTCTTAGCCGTCTTATCTGCTCCGAAGTGACCTGCACTAACTACATTGTGTGCCTCGGAAAGAAGAAGCTGTCGAAGAGGGCGGTTGGCTGGAACCCAAATATGTGTTGTACCCTTCCGTATGTAGACACTACCCTGCACCTCTGCTCCTGCGGGCGGTTGCGACATGAAATCTTGTTCTATTGTGTATCCATGCTCGAAGAGTGCTGTGAGAAGTGGATGGCTGGCAGTGACTGTGAGACTAGCGAGCAGGCAACTAGGGCGAGTAAGCAGATCTGTTGGGTTGTGCACGCTTGGCTTGTATTCTATCCTGTAATGAAAGCTCCCCTCCATGAACTCCATCCATCTAGCCTGGCGTCGACTCACCTGCGGCTGTGAATTGAAAAAGCGAAGCGAGCAATGATCCGTGCGTACAACACTATCTGCCCCCTCTAGGTAGCACCTCCACACCTTATACGCATGGATGATCGCGAGAGCCTCCTTGTTGTGTATGGGATAGTTCAACTCCGCTCCCCTAAGCTTACGCGGCTCGTACGCGATTGGCTGCAACCCGCGTCCTTGGTCCTGAAGAAGCACTGCTCCGATGGCCTGATCTGATGCGTCGGTCACTACAACATACGGGCGAGAGGGATCAGGGTACGACAGTGTCATCTGCTCGAACGCTTGTTGCTGCGCTGGACCCCAAACGTACTCTACGCCCTTCCGAAGTAGCTCGGTGAGTGGACTAGCGATGGAAGCGTAACCCTGAACGAAACGACGGTAATAATTGGCGAATCCGAGGAAGCTTTGCAGTTCCTTGACTGAGATCGGTGCTACCCAATCCTGTATTGCTGCCATCTTCTTTGGGTCTGTCCTAATGCCACCAGTGGATACGACGTGTCCTAGAAACTCGACCTCTGGAAGGAAGAACTCGCACTTCGACTGCTTTGCGTGTAGCTGCTCCCTCCGTAAGACCTCAAAGACCTTTTACAAATGCTGCACGTGCTCCTCTTTCGTCTTGGAGAAGATCAAGATGTCGTCTAGGTAGACTACGATGAACGACCCTAGGAACTCGGAGAGGACAGTGTTCATGAGCATCTGAAACGTTGCTAGGGCGTTGGTCAAATCGAACGGTAGAACCCTAAACTCGTACAACCCCTGATTCATACGAAACGCCGTCTTGTGCTGGTCCTCTCAAACTACGCGAATCTGGTAGTAACCCGAACGAAGGTCGATCTTCGGAAAAACTCTAGCGCCCTGCACTGCATCGAGAAGATCCTCTACTCTCGGCACCGGGTGTCAAACTTATATGCTATAGTCTGTGTAGGCTGTAGTGGGGTAGACAATATGGGGTACAACATTTCAAGGTTTTCCTACTTGTACCCACATGTTTCCTAGTCAATTTATTCCTCATTTCTTCACATGGTATAGAGCAGGTTCCTTAGTGGGAACGCTTTCTAGGGCCCACCACTGAAATCGATTTTTTTTTTCTGCCCGGAGCGCGAGTCGCCCCTACCCGAGGCGCGCCCCGTGGGCCGCCCTCTTGTCGAGCCCTCCTAGAGGCCCCTCTCACGGCCCCTCGCGCCACCCTTGGCGGCCCCGTCGCCACCCCTAGCGGCCCCGTCCCTGCCCTCCTAGGCCCCTCGAGGCCCCTTCGCGGCCCCGTCGCCGCCCCTAGCGGCCCCGTCACCGCCCTTCCAGGCCCCTCGCGGCACCTTCGCGGCCCCGTCGCCGCCCCTAGCGGCCCCGTCGCCGCCCTTCCAGGCCCCTCGCGGCCCCTTCGCGGCCCCGTCGCCGCCCCTAACGGCCCTGTCGCCGCCCTTCGAGGCCCCTACGCGGCCCCGTCGCCACCCCTAGCGGCCCCGTCGTCGCCCCTCGCGGCCCCGTCGCCGCCCTTCGCGGCCCCGTCGCCGCCCCTAGCGGCCCCGTCGTCGCCCTTCCCGGCCCCGTCGCCGCCCCTTGCGGCCCCGTCGCCGCCCCTTTCGGCCCCTCCCCGGCCCCTTCAGCGCCGAGCCGCCAAGCAGCTGAACAGCCGAGTAGCCGAGCCGCCGAGCCGCCGAGCAGCCGAGCCGTCGAACCGCCGAGCCGCCGAGCCGCCCAGCAGCCGAGCCGCCGGGGCCACCGTCGAGCCGCCACTACCGAGCCATTGCCGAGCCGCTGCCACCGTTGTTGCCGCCATGTTCCTTCCGGTGCGCCCCGGCCCTACCCACCCGGACTGGTGAGAGCACTCCCTACTAAACCACTGCTGTCATGGCTACCCCCAGTGTCCTTACCTTTGATGCTGAGGGTCGTGCTGTTGACTTTGAGGTCTGGGTCGATGACCTCCAGCTAGTCCTACAGTGCGATAGGGCAGACGGACTCTCCCTGTTCGATCTCACCTCTGGTGCCTCTCCTGCCCCGCCTGCTACTGCTGACAGCACTGTTCGCTCACAGTGGGCCACACGCAATGCTGCTGCCCGTCTTGCTGTGCGTCGCCACTTACCGACCACTGAGCGTGTGCACTTTAGCCAGTACAAGAGTGCTAAGACCTTATACGACGTTGTAGTTGCACGCTACTCTTCCCCTGCCACTACTGCGCTTAGCCGCCTCATGCTGCCGTACCTGTTCCCTGACCTTGCTGCCTTTCCCACAGTCACTGACCTCATTACGCACCTTCGCACTAGCGACACTCGCTACCGCGCTGCGCTTCCTACTGAGTTCTGTGCCAAGAACCCCCCCCCCCCCCCCATGTACATCACCCTCTACTACATAGTCACCCGCCTCCCTGACTCCCTTCTCTTAGTCAGGGACCACTTCCTCTCACTTTGCCCCACCACACTCACCGTTGACCTCCTCGAGGAGCGCCTCCTAGCAGCAGAGAAGAGCATAGTTGTTGTAGGAGCCTCTCGTGGTGACCCTCGCACCCCAGTCTTTGAGGGGTGTTCCCCCTCCCCCCTCTTGCCCTCTGTTGCTTCTGCTGCTGCGGCCGACCTCCTTGGTTTTGAGTCGGTTGGCGCTGCGTCTGCCCCTAGCGGGAGACGCCGCACCAGCAAGGGCAAGGGGGGCAAGGGCGCTGGAGGGAATGGCGGGGGCGGTTGAGGTGGTGGTGGAGGCAGTGGAGGGGGTGGGGGTGGTGGTGGGAGTGGTGGCACGGGTGGAGTTGTCGGTGGCAGCAGTGGAGGCGGAGGAGGCGGCGGCGGTGGCGGTGGGAGCGGCGGCGGCGGAGGTGGCGGAGGCGGCGGCGGCAGCGGTGGAGCTGGTCGCGGCTCTGCACAGAGGAGTGGCTCCGGTGGTGGTCCGCGCCAGCTGCAGCAGCGCACTCGTGAGACCCCGTCCCCCCAGCAGCTTCGTGAGTGGTACGCTGGGCGTCAGCGAGGTGGGGGTACTGGTCCCTGTACCTGCGTCCTCCGTACCGGCGACCGCGCTGGTGAGCAGTGCTGGGACTCGCACTCCACCCAGCGCTGCTTCGGCCGCCTGACGGACGCTTGGCGTCACCAGTTCCCTGACGCCACTGAGATCCCTCGCTGGGGAGAGCTGTCTAGGGCGGGGGTTGCTATCTTTGATCTTGATTATGATGCTATTCTTGCTGCCATGTATGCTGTGTCTACTAGTGATGAGGGTGACTGTTACCTGTGTGTTCCGCCTGACCCGGGCATTGAGGCTGCTGCTCTAGGTGCTGGTGAGGCTGTTGCTCTAGGTGCTAGTGCGTCTGCTGCCCCAGGTGCTGGTGAGTCTGCTCTCTCAGGTACCACGTCGGCTCAGGCCTTCCACACCTTCACCCTTGACTCGGGTGCTTCCCGCTCCTTCTTTCGAGACCGCACCACACTTACGCCGCTTGGTCGGCCGGTTGCGGTCTCCCTGGCGGACCCCTCTGGGGGTCCTGTCCTTGCTCGCTTCTCCACTCTCTTACCGTGTCCGGCAGCCCCCTGTGGCACCCTGTCAGGTCTCTACCTCCCCTCGTTCTCTACGAACTTGGTGAGTGGTGCTGACCTACAGGATGGGGGGGTTGACCAGTTCACTCCTGCGGGTCATCGGGTGACCCACTGTACGTGTGCTCGGACGGGCTGACACTTGGCCACGTTTACCCGTCGGCCGGGGTCGAGCCTGTACACACTGACTACTGAGTCCCCTCCGGTTGCTGAGTCTGGTTAGGTAGCTGCATCGAGTCAGGTGTTTGCTGCAGCGTCAAGGTCTGGTCCTGAGTTTGCTCCCTACTCGTGTCGTCTCCTGTCCCACCAGGCTCTCCTTTGGCACCACCGCCTTGGTCACCCCTCCCTGCCTCGTCTCCGAGGTATGGCCTCTCGTGTCTTTGTCTCTGGTCTGCCCCGGTCCCTCCCTCCCCTTCCTCCGGGGCCTGCCCCTACCTGTGTTCCCTGCGTTGAGGGGCAGCAGCGCGCCGCCCCTCACTCCTCCGAGTTTCCTCCGACAGAGGCTCCGCTGCAGACTCTTCACATGGACGTGTGGGGCCCTGCCCGCGTCCTTGGCCAGGGTCACGAGCGTTACTTCCTGTTGGTGGTTGGCGACTTCTCGCGTTACACCACGGTGTTCCCCTTGCGCAGCAAGGGTGACATCACTGAGGTGTTGATCGACTGGATCCGCGCAGCTCATCTCCAGCTCAGAGAGAGTTTCGGCTCGGACTTTCCTGTTCTGCGTCTGCACTCTGACAGAGGCGGGGAGTTTTCCTCTGCCCTTCTGGGAGCCTTCTGTCATGCACAGGGATTCCGCCAGACCTTCACGCTTCTGGCCTCTCCACAGTAAAATGGGATTGCTGAACGCTGCATTGGCATGGTCATGGACGTCGCTCGTATGTCCATGATCCATGCGGCTGCTCCCCATTTTCTGTGGTCGTTTGCGGTTCAGTGCGCAGCGCATCAGATCAACCTTCAGCCCCGAGTCTCCTTGCCGGAGACCCCCCCCACCCTGAGGTGGACGGGAAAGGTTGGCGATGCGTCTGCGTTCAGTGTCTGGGGATCTCGGGCGTTTGTCCGCGACTTGTCTGCGGACAAGCTATCCCCCCGTGCTGTTCCCTGCGTCTTCCTTGGCTTCCCCCCTGACTCGCCTGGTTGGCAGTTTTACCACCCCACCTCGCGCCGTATTTTGTCCTCCCAGGACGTCACGTTTGACGAGTCGGTGCCTTACTACCGTCTCTTCCCCTACCGCATTGCGCCCCTCCCCCCGCCGCTGCTCTTCCTTGCGCCAGGTCCTCCCCCGGTAGACCCTCTCCCCCCTCAGGGTCCTGCCCCATCAGGTGTGTCCCGGGTAGACGCAATCGAGCCTGTCAAGGTAGCTGTTGACTCTGGTGCTGCTAGGGGTGTTGAGCCTGGGGGTGCTGAGTCTAGGGGTGCTAAGCCTGGGGGTGCTGAGTCTGGGGGTGCTGAGCCTAGGGGTGCGGAGCCTGGGGGTGCGGAGCCTGAGGGTGCTGAACCTGGGGGTGCAGAGCATGGGGGTACGGAGCCTGGGGGTGCTGAGCCTGGGGGTGCGGGGCCTGGGGGTGCTGGGTCTGCTCGTGTGGCCTCTGGCGGTGCTTCGTCGAGGCGGGAGCTACCCTGTCCACATGAGCTGCGCGAGTGGTTTGCCCGGCGCTGGAGCCGTGCTGCTGGAGCTGGAGGTGCTACGGTTGCTGCTGACCCTGGGGTCGGCATTGGAGTTACTGGAGCCACTGGTCCTGGAGGTGTTGTACTGGCAGTACTGGAGCTACTGGGACTGGGGGTGCTGCTGGGGCAGCTGGACTTGGTCCTGCTGGAGGTAGTGCCGGAGCTGATGGTGGTACTGGAGCTGGCGGTCCTGCTGGAGTTGGTGCTGCTGGTGATTCTGGAGCTGGAGCTGCTAGAGCTGCTGGAGCTGGAGCTGCTGGGGGTGTTGGCGCTGGTGCTTCTGAGGGTGCTGGAGTTGGCGCTGCTGGAGCTGGAGGTGCTGCAGGCGCTGGTGCTGCCGCTGGGGGTAATGGTGTTGTCCCTGCTGGTTCTGGAGGCGCTACGCGGCCGTGGCCGTACTTCGTTCCGCTCCTTGAGCAGGTTCTTGGTCTTCCGCCTTCTACTGGTCCTGCTCCTCCCTTAGAGTGTCCACCGCCTGTCCAGTCACAGTCACAGTTACAGCCCGCCTCCCCCATACTTGCTCCTTCTCCCTACACTGGTCCTACTGGAGGTCTTGCTGAGCGTCGTGAGCTTGCGTCTCGTCCTTCGTCGCCTGTTCGTGCTGCTCGCACTAGTAATCGTGCTCCGCGTCCGCGTCCTCCAGCTGTCCCAGGCACACACCAGATGGCAGTGCGTCCTTCCTCTGCTCCTCTGCGTGTCCCGTTGCCGTCTCCTCCAGAGTCCTCTCTTCCTGTTCTTGCTGACCCGGAGTCTGACTCTCTTCGTGCTGCCAGTCCTACTGTTACGCGTCTCCTGGCCACTGTTGTCACTGACCCTTCCTTTCAGTCCACTGCTGCGTCTGCCTTAGTTGCTGAGCTTGTCGACTTTGCTGCTCGCTGTCGTCTAGACTACGCCACTAGTCTCGTTGCTGAGTCTGAGTTTGTCTGTCCTCCGTTTGTCGGGGGTGAGTGTGCTCTTAGCACGGACGTCCTTGAGGATTGGCAGGAGGAGTTCCAGTGTTTTGTTGCTGCTTTGCCTCATCTCGTGTCCACGGTGATTGCCCCTGAGGGAGACCCGGATGCACCAGACATCCCGACTCCTCCATCGTACGCTGAGGTGATCGAGGGTCCCTACTCGTCACAGTGGCAATCAGCCATGGACGCAGAGATGGCTTCCTAGAAGTCCACAGGCACCTACGTCGACGAGGTTCCCCCACTTGGGGCGAACATTGTCAGTGGCATGTGGATTTTCAGGGTGAAGCGGCCGCCGGGTTCTCCGCCTTCAAGCCAAGAGTGGTCATCTTTGGGGTGGGAGAGAAGGTATGAAAGTAGTCAACTCCCTGCCGCTGACTGAAGCCTCGAGCCACGTAACGCGCCTTGAAGACAAGCGGAGAATCCGGCGGCCGCTTCACCCTGAAAATCCACATGCCACTGACGATGTTCGCCCAAGGTGGGGGAACCTCGTCGACGTAGGTGCCTGTGGACTTCCAGGAAGCCATCTCTGCGTCCATGGGTGACTGCCACTGAGAGGAGTAGGGACCCTCGATCGCCTCAGCGTACGATCGAGGAGTCGGGATGTCTGGTGCATCCGGGTCTCCCTAAGGGGCAATCAGCGTGGACACGAGGTGAGGCAAAGCAGCAGCAAAACACTGGAACTCCTCCTGCCTGTCCTCAAGGACGTCCGTGCTAAGAGCACACTCACCCCCGACGGACGGAGGACAGACAGACTCAGACTCAGCAACGAGACTAGCAGCGTAGTCTAGACGACAGCGAGCAGCAAAGTCGACCAGCTCAGCCACCAAGGCAGACGCAACAGTGGACTCAAAAGAAGGGTCAGTGACAACAGTACCCAGGAGACGTGTGACAGTAGGACTGGCAGCACGAAGGGAGTCAGACTCAGGGTCAGCAAGAGTAGGAAGAGAGGACTCAGGAGGAGACGGCAACGGGACATGCAAAGGAGCAGTGGAAGGACACAGTGCCATCTGGTGTGTGCCGGGGACCGCAGGAGGACGCGGACGCGAAGCACGACCACTAGTGCGAGCAGCACGAACAGGAGACGCAGGACGAGACGCAGGCTCACGAGGCTCAGCAAGACCTCCAGTAGGACCAGTGTAGGGAGAAGGAGGAGGTAGGGGGGAGGCGGGCTGTAACTGTGACCGCGACTGGACAGGCTGTGGACCCTCTAAGGGAGGAGCAGGACCAGTAGAAGGCGGGAGACCAAGAACCTGCTCAAGAAGCGGAACGAAGTACGGCCGCGGCCGCGAAGCGCCTCCAGAAACAGCAGGGACATCACCAGTACCCCCAGCGGCAGCACCAGTGCCAGCAGCACCTCCAGCCCCAACAGCACCAATTCCAGCACCCTCAGACGCACAAGCGTCAGCAGAACCACCAGCGCCAACACCCCCAACAGCTCCAGTAGCTCCAGCAGCAGCAGGACCGGCAGCTCCAGTACCGCCGGCAGCTCCAGTAGTGCCACCAGCAGGACCAACTCCAGCAGCTCTAGCAGCACCCCCAGTCCCAGCAGCTCCAGTACCGCCTGTACGAGCACCTCCGGGACCGTCAGCAACAGCAGTACCTCCAGCTCGAGCAGCACGGCTCCAGCGCCGGGCAAACCACTCGCGCAGCTCCTGTGGAGAGAGTGGCTCCCGCCTCAACGAAGCACCGCCGGCGGCCACACGAGCAGACCCAGCGCCCCCAGGCTCGACACCCCCAGGCCCTGCACCCCCAGACTCAGCACCCCCAGGGACAGCACCTCCAGACTCAGCACACCCAGGCTCAGTACCCCCAGACTCAGCACCCCCAGTCTCAGCACCCCCAGGCTCAGCACCCCTAGACCCGGCACCCGAAGGCTCAGCAGCTCTAACAACACCATAGTCAACAGCTACCTCGACAGGCTCGACTGCGTCTACCTGGGACACACCTGACGGGGCAGGACCCTGAGGGGGGAGGGGGTCTACTGGGGGAGGACCTGGCGCAAGGAAGAGCGGGGGCGGGGGAGGGGGCGCAGTGCGGTAGGGGAAGAGACGGTAGTAAGGTAACGACTCGTCAAAGGTGACGTCTTGGGAGGACAGAACACGGCGCGAGGTGGGGTGGTAAAACTGCCAACCAAGCGCGTCAGGGGGGAAGCCAAGGAAGACGCAGGGAACAGCACGGGGGGACAGCTTGTCCGCAGACAAGTCGCGGACAAATGCCCGAGAACCCCAGACCCAAAACGCAGACGCATCGCCGACCTTCCCTGTCCACCGCAAGGTGGGGGAGGTCTTTAGCAAGGAGACCCGGGGGTGAAGGTTGAGCTGATGCACGGCGTACTGAACCGCAAACGGCCACAGAAAATGGGGGGCAGCCGCATGCATCATGGACGTACGAGCGACGTCCATGACCATGCCAATGCGGTGCTCAGCAATCCCATTTTTCTGTGGAGAGGCCGGAAGCATGAAGGTCTGGCGGATGCCCTGTGCACGACAGAAGGCTCCCAGACGGGCAGAGGAAAACTCCCCGCCTCTGTCAGAGTGCAGACGCAAAACAGGAAAGTCCGAGCCGAAACACTCTCTGAGCTGGAGACGAGCTGCACGGATCCAATCGATCAACACCTCAATGACGTCACCCTTGCTGCGCAAGGGGAAGACTGTGGTGTAACGCGAGTAGTCGTCAACCACCAACAGGAAGTAACGCTCGTGCCCCTGTCCACGGACGCGGGCGGGGCCCCACACGTCCATGTGAAGAGTCTGCAGCGGAGCCTCTGTCGGAGGAAACTCGGAGGAGTGAGGGGCGGCACGCTGTCGCCCCTCGACGCAAGGGACGTAGGTAGGGCCAGACCCCGGAGGTAGGGGAGGAAGAGACCGGGGGAGACCAGAGACAAGGAAACGGGAGGCCATGTCTTGGAGACGAGGCAGGGAGGGGTGACCAAGGCGGTGGTGCCAAAGGAGAGTCTGGTGGGACACGAGACGACACGAGCAGGGAGCAGACTCAGGACCAGACCTGGACGCTGCAGCAAACACCTGACCCGACGCAGCCACCTGACCAGACGCAGAAACGGGAGGAGACTCAGTGGTCAGTGTGTACACGCTCGACCCCGGCTGACGGGTAAACGTGGCCAAGTGTCGGCCCGTCCGAGCGTCCGTGCAGTGGGTCACCTGCTGACTCGCAGGAGTGAACTGGTCAACCCCCTTATCCTGTAGGTCCGCTCCACTCACCAAGTTCGTAGAGAACGAGGGGAGGTAGAGACCTGACAGGGTGCCAGAGGGGGCTGCAGGACACGGTAAGACAGTGGAGAAGCTAGCAAGGACAGGACCCCCAGAGGGGTATGCCAGGGAGACTGCAACCGGCCGACTGAGCGGCGTAAGAGTGGTGCGGTCTCGAAAGAAGGAGCGGGACGCACCCTAGTCAAGGGTGAAGGTGTGCAAGACCTGAGCCGACGTAGTACCTGAGAGAGCAGACTCACCAGCACCAGAGGCAGCAGAAGCACTAGCACCTGGGGCAGCAGACGCGCTAGCACCTGGGGTAGCAGACGCGCTAGCACCTGGTGCAGCAGACGCACTAGCACCTAGAGCAGCAGCCTCACCAGCACCTATAGTAGTGGCCTCAATGCCTGGGTCAGGCGGTACATATAGGTAACAGTCACCCTCAACACTAGTAGACACAGCATACATGGCTGCAAGGATAGCATCATAGTCAAGATCAAAGATGGCAACCCCCGCCCTAGACAGATCTCCCCAGCGAGGGATATCTGACGCCTCAGGGAACTGGTGACGCCACGCGTCCGTCAGGCGGCCGAAGCAGCGCTAGGTGGAGTGCGGGCCCCCGCACTGCTCACCAGCTCGGTCGTCGGTACGGAGGACGTAAGTGCAGGGACCAGTGCCCCCACCGTGCTGACGCGCAGCGTACCACTCACAAAGCTGCTGAGGGGACAGGGTCTCACGACCGCGCTGCTGCTGCCAGCGCGGACCACCACCTGACCCACTCCTCTGCGTAGAGTCGCGAACCGCTCCACCACTGCCTCCGCCGCCGACTCCGCCGCCTCCTCCACCGCCGCCTCCTCCTCCACCTCCGCCGCCTCCGCTCCCTCCGCCACCACCGCTGCCTCCTCCGCCTCCACTGCTGCTGCCGCCGCCACCGCCCCCGCCACCACTCCCACCACCACCCCCACTCCCTCCACTGCCTCCACCACCACCTCCACCGCTCCCGCTAGCCCCTCCAGTTCCCTTGCCCCCCTTGCCCTTGCTGGTGCGGCGTCTCCCGCTAGGGGCAGACGCAGCGCGGACCTCATAGAAACCAACGAGGTCGGCAGCAGCAGCAGAAGCAATAGAGGGCAAGAGGGGGGAGGGGGAACACCCCTCAAAGACGAGGGTGCGAGGGTCGCCACGAGAGGCTCCTACAGCGACTATGCTCGTCTCTGCTGCTAGGAGGGCCTTCTCGAGGAGGTCAACGGTGAGAGTGGTGGGGCAAACTAAGAGAAAGTGGTCCCTGACTACGCGGAGAGAGTTAGGGAGCCGGGTGACTATGTAGTGGAGGGTGATGTACATGGGGGGGGGGTTCTTAGCGCAGAACTCAGTAGGAAGCGCAGCGCGGTAGCGATTGTCACTAGTGCGGAGGTGCGTAATGAGGTCAGCGACTGTGGGAAAGGCAGCAAGGTCAGGGAAGAGGTACGGTAGCATGAGGCGGCTCAGTGCAGCAGTAGTAGGGGAAGAGTAGCGTGCAACTACAGCGTCGTACAAGGTCTGAGCACTCTTGTACTGGCTAAAGTGCGCACGCTCAATGGTCGGTAAGTGGCGACGCACAGCAAGACGCAGCAGCATCGCGAGTCGCCCACTGTGAGCGAACAGTGCTGTCAGTAGTAGCAGCCGGGGCAGGGGATGCACCAGAGGTGAGGTCGAACAAAGAGAGGCCGTCTGCCCTATCGCACTGGAGGAACAGCTGGAGGTCATCGACCGAGACCTCAAAGTCAACAGCACGGCCCTCAGTGTCAAAGGTAAGGACAGTGGGGGTAGCCATGACTGCAGAGGTCTAGCAAGGAGGGGGCTCACAAGTTCGAGTAAGTAGGGCCGGGGGGCGTCGGCAGGACTGGTAGCGGCCAGCGGCTCGGCTGCTGGGCGGCTCGGCTGTCGGGCGGCTCGGCGGCTGGGCGGCTCGGCGGCTCGGCTGCTGGGCGGCTCGGCTGTCGGGCGGCTCGGCTGCTGGGCGGCTCGGCAGCTCGGCCGTCGAGCGGCTAGGCGGCTCGGCCGTCGGGCGGCTCGGCTGTCGGGCGGCTCTGCGGCTCTGTCGCTGGGCGGCTCGGCGGCTCTGCTGCTGGGCGGCTCGGTAGAGGCGGCGTCGAGGCCGCTTAGGAGGCGACGTCGGGGCCGCTTAGGAGCGGCGCAAGGGGCCGCTAAGGGCGGCGTCGGGGCCGCTTAGGAGCGGCACGAGGGGCCGCTAAGGCGGCGGGAGGGGCCGAGGAGCGGCTCAAGGGGCCGCAAGGGCGTCGTCGGGGCCGCGAAGGGCGGCACGAGGGGCCGCAGGGGCGGCAGTGTGGCCGAGGAGCGGCGCAAGGGGGCCGCAAGGGCGGCGCGCGGGGCCGACGAGAGGCGCGCAGGGGCGCAGGGGCGGCGCGCAGGGCCGACGAGAGGCGCGCGGGGCCGCAAGGGAGGCGCACGGGGCCGAAAGGGCGGCGCGCGGGGTCGACGGGTGGCGCGAGGGGCCGCAAAGGCGGCGCGTGGGTTTGTGAGGGCGGCTCAAGGGGCCGTGAGAGGGGCCGCGGAGGGCGGCGCGACTCGGGCAGGAGCGAACCACGCTCCGGGCAGGAAAAAAAAAATATCGAGATGGGCCCTATAGAGTGTTCCACTAGGGAACCTGCTCTGAAACCATGTGAGAATGAAAACGAGGAATGATTGCATTGAGCAACATGAGGAGTACAAGTAGGAAACCCTAAAGTGTTGTACCCCATATTGACTACCCCACTACAGCCTAAACAGACTATAGTAGATATAGTTTGACACCCGTCGGCTTCGTACTGCGTCGACGCGTTCTGCTGCTGCGACTACCGAGTCGAAGGTGGACAATCCGTGAATCGCTATAATCTCTGCTATGTCCAGCTTCAACCCTTCGAGGTAGCGATCGCACATCTCTGCTTCCGTGATGTCATCTATTTTGTTGTAGATGGTCAAGAACCGTCATGTGTACTCCTGGACGTTTCATATCTGTCAGAAATGACGCAGACGCTTCCTAGCAGCTTCAAAGGCATTCACCAAGTTGAACCTACTTTTCAGCGCCACTTCAAGTCCTTCCCATGTCGTCGGGACCGTGGTAACACCCAAAGCTAAACTCCATAAGCTCGAAGTTGCAGCTGCACGCCCCTCGCCCTATTGATGTCCGTCCAAATGAGCCCTTCTTACAGTAGTTGGCATGAGTTGGCGCCACCACTCCAAGGCCGGGCCCCTCAGCAGCGTAACGGAGTACTTGATCCGCTGCTGCACGTTTGCCTCTTGCACCGCAAAGTAGTTGTTGAGCATGAAAATCCACGTTTGCACGTTCGCGTCATGTTGACTTGGGTCAAACCGCTCAGGTTTCTGCGGCTTGAGCGCGCTTCGACGTTCCGGCAGTGCTTCTGCGCTAGTCGACATGTTAGGTGCGGGAGATGGTGCGGCATGACCATGAGAAATTGACGCGAATTCATGAAGCTGTCGCATTTCAGCCCGTACCTGATGATTTTCCAGCGTCAACTTTTCGATTTGGCACATGAGTTGAGCAAGCGTGTTGCCCATGTCGTTGGGGACAACGCTAATGGTTTCATCCATGTTAGCTCGACGACTCCAAGTTTGCAAGTCGGCACCGCTGAACGATGACATTGTAGTCTCGTCGTCGACGGTCGCCCATTGGAAGTCGCTCCCCGCGAAGGCT